GGTTGAGTCGGTTTTAGACTCAGGTTTTATCATCTTAGGATGATGGAGTTAGACATTCTAGCTCGGTATACCCCGAAAGGGGTATGGTGGAAGGACTAGGGGTCTCAGGCAAACCCGAGAAATCGGGTGCAGGAGTAGGCCAAGGACCAGGTGGAGTGAGTTGTTCCGCGGGTAGGTAGGGATACTACATGGAGGTTTTGTAGATCCCGGATGACGAGGAAGGGAGAGTCCGAGGTAGAAGGACATATGACCTCGGAGGAGTAAACCGAAGCTGCTCCGGTTCTCGGTGGTAGGTCAGGAGGTTAGGTATCCACATTTAGGTGGAGCTTCCTCGGGTAGGATGCTCAGGAGATGGTGTGAGCTGGGAGGTGTCGGGTCACCGGGTAGAGTCGGTGTAGGTTGGCGCTAGGACACTCCCTCTCGAGGTGGAGCACGTGCACTCACGTGTCTCTTATTCTCGGTGGAGCATCGTAGATGACTAGGAGAGTCTTCGCGGGACAAAACCGTGGGACAATTCTAGTTGGCAGGTTAGGGTCCGAGGGTAGAAGTCGTATACCTATAGGTAGTGTAGACTTCACGGGGATCCGGGCTAGGTATCTAGCGGTTTCGGTAGTATGACTCAGGTTAGTCTCGGGGAAGTCGGGATAGACTTAGGAGACGGGTAGACGTCGGGTATAATCCTCGGGTTAGCTAGCGGGTATAGTCTTGGACTTTACTAGGAGGATTGGTTAGACGGTCTAGGGAGTCATACAACCGAGGGTAGCATTCGCCGGTCGAGCGATGCGGGATAGGACTACGGTTCGAGTCTTATCGGGGTGAACGTTCTAACACGTTTACCGAGTGTTTCAGGTAGAGATGAGCTGATCGATGGCGGGATAAGGCGGCGAGGCCACGAGGAGTCATCGACGGGAGCTTCATCAGATTCAGGACGACGTGCGACTAATTCCGGGACAGGTAAGTCAGGTAAGTCAGGTAAGTCTGCTTTAAATTCCGACGAAAGTCGAGGGATCGACGAAAGTCGATCGGTGCTGGAAACGGCGAATCCCACTAGTGTTTTATTTGTTATTATTTCCTTGCAAGTTCCTTTCTCCACCAAGGTGGAGATTGTTGGGCCCGCTCGGCCCAGCGGCCCGTTTTGGCGGAAAAGGAACTCGGCCCGTTCGAGTAAAACGCAGCGCTTCATCCCGAGAGTTAATGAAACCCTAAGGGGTTTCGGGACTTCGACACGAGAGAGGCGCGGTGCTCGAGGTGGAGAGGAGAAAGGCGATCGCAGAGGCGATCGTGGGAAGGAGAGGAAGATCGCGACGGAGGAAGAGTTTCCCGGCGATGGAGAAGCTTCTGACCGGTGGCGGTCACAAAGGTGAGTCGCGGAGTAGGTCGGTAAGTGTCTCGTACCCTGTCTCTTGGCGTTTCCCGGTGAGCCTCCGACCTTGTGTGGAGAGCCACCGTGTGTTATCCCTTCTCTGTTGTTTCTTTCCGTTCTAGTGGATTCGCCGGCACCGTCCGGCCGAGATGTAGGCCCGAGCTTGCTCGGTAACCGAACTCGTTAAAATCTCCGGTCTCTTTCATTCACGCACGTACGAGAGTCGGAGTGGCCGTGAGATCTCGATACCGACTTCACATTGGGCATATACATAAATACGAGATGACGCCTATTTGTCGCTGCGTGCGGTGCCAATTTATTATGTCGCCCGATTTTGGAATTGGGATGATGATGACGAAGATTGCTTCTTTCGAGAGAAACGAACCCATGCATATGCTTATGCATGCCATCCTCTGATGTGGGTTTGACACGTTCCTCATCTTCATTAAAGTTTTCTATATATTTCATGAAAAAAAAATAGAATTCAATTTAAATTGTTACAACAATAACAATTGGATACTTTATCATTATATATAATTATACATATACATAGATGTACACAAAAAGATTATTGTATAAACATTTGTATATGATTGTAAAAGTCTTGATAGGTTTAAATGTAGACATCTCAGATCAGTTTCCGTTTTGATATATGTCTTATCTTATCCACATATTGGTTGTTCTGATGGGGACTTATACTTGATTCAATAAATTGTAGGCCCAATTAATTGAAACATGAAACATTAGGGTTTTTTCAGTAATTTTTCGGAACATAAAATCTTGGGCCTCACGCGCTTTGGATCAAGCACCTTATCCCACGCGCCTCTCTCTCTCCACGTTCCCACCGATTCTCTCTCTTTCTTGCCCCCCCCTCTCTATATATATTCTCTCTCTTCGCCGGAGAAATGAAAACCGACGAACTGGCGCCAGAGAGACGATCTTTCTCCGTCTTCTTCGGCAACTAAAATTTACCGTTATATCCTTCCGATGGCCAATGGCCCAATACGCCTTCCACCTGTTGGAATCTTAATTCTCCCGTCACCAAGCCTTCCATTCCAAGTAAACCCAATCTTTCTCTCTCTCCGTCTGGGTTTCTCTCTCCGGTGAGGAATTGGAATTTCGAATTTGGGAGTTTCCTGCGTTTTCTTCTTCTTCTTCTTCTTCTTCTCCCATTGTTAATTCAGCGTGCCGGCGCATGGCTCTCCGGATTTTGTCGTCCGCCGGTGAACGGTGTTGATCGGTGGAATGGAGCTCCATGTATTCTCCCGTTGTTTATTCGCTACTTTTTTTGTTGGTCTATGAACTTCGGAGGTAATGGTTTCACATCTTCCTCTCGTAGCGAACTTCTTTCTATCGAAATTGTGGAGAAATCGGGTGTATTTGCTTCGATTTCCGATTAATGATGGGTTTTCTGGACCTCTTAGGCGATCCTGAGACGATTTTTACGTCTATTCGGGAATCAGAGTTCAATTTTGAATCTTATGGGGAATGGTGAAGAGGGAAAATGCGTGTTCCCGCTGACGAGTCTCCAGATCGGGTAAATTCCCCTTTTTTATTGACTCTATCTCCATCTTAATGTTGGGTTTTCTTTTTCAGTGTAATGATCTCACTGTTCTCAAAAGTTTCCAATTTTGTGCTCATTATGTTCGTTTCCGATTGTCCTTTTCTGAGTTTTCTCAGACAACTTTGGTACTCTTGATCTTGAAAATCCACAATTCTGAGGTTTTGTGTTCCAAGCTGTAATAAGATCTTTTTGGAAAGACAGTTGATTTCCTTTTCTGTGTTCACTAATCGTGTCTTTTAACGTCTTGAAAATTGTTTTGGAAACACCTCTGAATGGCATCAGCAAATGAGCTGTCGTTCCAAACGAAACAAGGTCTTCTTTGGTTCTTACAGCTTTGTGCTCAGAAGGAGCTATATTGCTCATTTAGCTGAAGAAGTTTTGCATTCAATGTACCTTATTCTCGGGTTCTTTTTCATGGGTCTAATTTTAGTCAAATGGTTGCGGAGATTTCGTGCTGGGTTTATATTTTTGTGTTCCAGATCCGAAGGTTCGTTCTGTTGTCTGAAAAGCATTTTGAAGCGCTTTTGTAGCAGCTTCGGTTCATCCAATTTCGTGAAATGTGGAATCTGTACTCTGTGCAAGATAATAGAGTTAAAGTTAGGGGATTGATTTGAATGATCCGTCATCTGTGCAGCTGATAGAGATCTTATAATTGGTTATAGGGTTGCCCCTATTTCTGATGATCGTCTGGTTCACCAAGTTTTAGCAGGAAGCTTTCCTGTTGTTTTTACCCCCTTCTCTGCTCTTAAACTGATATCTGTTTCCTTGATGCATTGGTTGCAGAGACTTGCAGTCCTATCTTTCTGATCTTAGTATTTTCCTAGCCAATAAAAGTAAGAAACTTTACATTTTGGTGGACAATCGGCCATGGCTGAATCCTGGTCCCCGAACTGCTCGCTTGTGGCAATTAATGGTTACCAAGGTTGTAAAAGATGCCTCGGGTACGGTATTTCGTCTTGTCAGATGAAAAAAAAACCACAAAGTGAAACATTTTTATTTATTTATTGCAGTCCAGACAGTCCCCTTTCGCAAACACAAAACGTCGGAAGGAGAAAACAACTCAGAAGCAGAAGCAGAAAGAGATTTCTTCCAGCTCTAACGATATCAAATTGAAGAAGCTTCAGAAATGGTTCTCATTGATCGATGCAACAGCATTCGCAAAGAAGGAAGTCCCTGCAAAGAAGCTGCAAAGCGCTTTGTTTCTTAAGAATGAGTTGCATAAGACATTGTATGGTTTTATTGTGTTCGAAGTTGAATGGGCCAACGTGAGGGGTATTCATTACTTGAATGAGCTGCAGGTACAACCCCTGCATCTATCATTTCCTTTTCCTTTCCGGGTCATATTGTATGGTTTCTCACTTGATTTCTATCTTCACATAGACGGATACATCTCTTGCTATAGAAGCTAAGATCATGCGAAGGTGGGAGTTTGAAAGCATAAACCAAGCCGTGGCAAGTATGTCGGTTTGGTTCTCTGGTACAGAAATTGAAAAGTCTTGCTTGAAGAAATATCTTGATACAGCTATAGGTAATATGATTTTCTCTAAAGTAATAGCTAAAAACACTGATTTGCTCAAGGTGGGGAAACACCTTTGACATCTTCAACTTTGTGATATCGTAACTGTTTCAGGAGAGGTCTTTTATGATGCTGAAGTGGATTTCTCGAGAGCGACCTGTGTTGATGATGATGATGATGAAAACCTTTGCAGCGACAGTCTCTCTGTTGACAAAGGTTCTCCTCACTGCACCAGAAATTTATTTGATGTTTACCCTTCTACCAGTGCGGATTATGATGAGAGCGAGCCTCACACACCGCCTCTAACTGGACCTTACAAGAGAAGAAGAGTAACTAAGGCAGTCAGCACAGGGGGTGAAGTTGATGTTTATATGGAGGAAACACCTAAAAGAGACGAGAACATGTCGGATCACTGGGAGAACCATGTAACTGATGGGGGCAACAACTTAGGTGTAGCTACCCATTATAAGGATGTCCTGGTCCTTGTCAGATTCAATGACGGTGACCTCCCTTTCAAATTGCGAGAGATTATAATGGCTGACATCCGCTTGCTCACTTTACTCGAAGCTGGACTTCCGTCTTGGGTCTTGTTTCTGCAGTCATATCCTGGCTTCTGCCATCTCTATCGACCCTGGATGTGCCCTCTCGCCAGAGCTTTATACGTGCTGATCTCACTCATCACTGTTGTGATAGGATTTTATGATCTGTACAAGAATGTCCCTGTTCTGAAGGCAACTGCATCTCGGCTATGCGGGCCCCTATTCAACTGGATCGAGACATGGGACATGGTTTCACGGATCAAGTACTTGGGAACAATGCTGTTTCTTCACAACTTTCAGAAGGCTGTCAAGTGGGTTTTGACAACCGGACATGCTATTCGTTCGTTCTTCTCTTTTCTTGTTATGCCCATGGCAAAGCCACTCATTGATTCTCTGGAACTGCTCCTTCCTGTCTGGAATTTAATGGCTGAAACAGTGGATAGCTTCGTTTCAGTGGTCTGGGTAATCTTCGGTTCTTCTTGCAGCCTTGTCGGTGACATGGTAGACCTGGTGCTTTTGCCCATATGGTTTACCGTCTCACTTATCTGGAACATCGGTGAGTGCCACTTATCTCTGTGATACTTTATGTTACTACCATATTTTAATCCCTGCTCTCTAAACTTTCCCCATTGATGCTGCAGCAACTTCTGTCTTGTTGAATGTATTCTGGATCATATGGGAAGTGGTATATACACCGATCAGAGTGGTTCTCGCTCTGACCAACTTCTTGGCTCTCGTTTTCTCGAGCGTATTTGATGTGCTCGGGGACTTGTGGTCGTACATTAGCAGCATTCTCCAGCTTGCATCAGACTCTCATTCGACTGTAAAGACATACGAAGTCTCCATGTGGCGGTCTCTTTGGAATGACCTCTTCTCTCATGTGAGTTAAACAGTTCAAGTATTCAAAAACTAAATACAATGTATTCATTCAACTTAAAAAAAGAAAAGCGTTACCAACTTGTCTGGTAATATGTATCCTTCCGCCATTTTCAGATTTTCCGAGCTGTTAGGAGTATATTAAACGGGTTTGTGGCTTTCTTCGCAGCCTGCAATAGGCATCGGCTTAGGTACGTGTTGCCTTGTTTTCTCTCAAAAGTAAGCATTTTTCTGAGAGAACATAAGAAACAGAAACTCTGGCTTTGCAGATTTCGGTTAACTTCAAATCTTGCTTGTATATATTTTCATGACAAGAAGTAACAGTTGTGTCCTATGGTTTATTTTCAGCATATATAACCACTCACAGGACTTCATCCAGAAAGTACTTGGACGCGCCCCGAGATTGCAATGCATAGACTCGAGACTCCACAGGGCTATACCGAGCCATCAACGCACGGTCAGTTTCCCAGCCTGAATCTGAATATGGACCAGTTTTCTTCTAAAACAAACAAACCTTTTCGACACAATCTTTACCCTGGTTTCTAAGTTACCCTTTTGAATGTTCATCTCATTCAATGGCGAAAGGCTCGAGCTTTTTTCGTAGGGAAATGTTCATATTCCGGGAGAAAACACCAGAAAGTAATCTCCTTTACAGTTTCAGTTGAATGATCTCGGGTTGGACTGATAATTGCAGGCGGAAACGAGGCGGAAATTGCACGTCGAGTAGATCGCGAGGGAGATTTCTGCCCATCTTGATCTTTTCATTCGATTCTTTTATTCATCAACCCTTTGTAGATCGTATAGGCTCTGTATCTGTGTCTGTATATCTCTTCTTCAACCACTATAGATTTATCTTCTCGTTCTTGTAAACTCTTCCCATTTTGTAAATAACGAATCAAGAATGTAACTTTTCGCACACGTGAAATGAAACGCATCCTCATAGGGTGTATTGCTTCGGATCGAATAAAAACTATGGCATATTTAATTGTAAAATTGGTTGAATAAAATCTCTTCCGAAATTATTTTGAGGTTTTTGGAAGAACCAGAGAATCGCCACCGTACGTAGAATCGGACGAACCAGATGTTGCCACGTGTTTACTTCCGTTTCCCGCTTCCTTCCGTCTACTGTTTTAGTGGACGCATTTTCTTGCTTTGCTCCTCCATAAAAGAGAAAGAGGGACGAAGATAGATCGAAACGCCACTTTTGAAAATTTCTAGGTTTTGTTTGTTCTCTTCCGCACTCGATATTGGGATTTTTCTCCGCGAAAATGTCTCCTCCGCGGATGTGGTATAAGGGTGGTCCGTGGCCTCGACCCAGTGCCAGAGGTAACCGTCTCTGGATCTTTCTCGGTGATCTTTTGTTCTGTTGTTTGATTGTGTTTGGTAGCCGAGAAAATGCGCGAAAATCGAACTTTGAGTCGGTACTTGGTAACGAAATGAGCTCCTAATCAGACAATTGCAGAGTTCCAATAATTTTGGGATCGTCCTCCGATTCCGTCCTTTTTTATTTCCGGAATGCGTTGCAGAAAAAAGATAGTAATCCATCATCTGAATGGGAACTGTAGGGTCATCCATGGGTTTCTCTGATTCACCTTTGGTTTTCGTGTGATCGTAGATGACAGCAGTGAGGAAGACCTTGAGTTCGACCAAGATGACGAAATCAAATCATCATCTTCTTCAGATGATGATCGTGCCATCTCCGCAACCGCAGGCACGTTTCGCGTCTTTGTTTTGTTTTAATAATCTTTTCATGTTCTCTCGCTCTAATGTATTCATGTCTGTACGTGGACGGTTTTTCAGCATTTCAGTTCTTGATTTCTCAGTAATCGATAAGTAGTTTCTAATAGTGTTTTCATGTTTGTGAACTGTCTTTCCATTATATTTTACTGCATTCCGCAAACAAGAAAAATTGAAATGATATGATTGACTGAAAGTGGATGAGTTATTTCATTGTCATACATGAAACCAGGTGAGGCCGAGGTGGTTCCCGCAAATGTCAGGAGGAGGAAAAAGACGAGGAAAAGAACAGATCTGGCATGGCAGAAATGGGAAAAAGAAAACATGGGTGGTATAGATGAGCATTTGTCAGATGATGTGAATCTGGATGAACACAGTGAAACTCTCGCAGAAACGGCTGAGCAGCCTCCAGACGTGATTGTACCTCTACTGAAGTACCAAAAGGAATGGTTGGCTTGGGCGATGAATCAGGAAGCCTCGGTAGGAGGAGGCATTCTTGCTGATGAGATGGGGATGGGAAAGACCTTACAGGCCATCTCTCTTGCTCTTTCCACTCCGAAACAAGGGAGGGCGCTACGTTACAATAGAAAGCCTATCTTGAGCACCCTTGTTGTTTGTCCTAAGGTGGCTGTGTCGCATTGGAAAAGCGAAATTGATCATTGTACCTCCCCAGGAAGCACCAAAGTGATTGTTTATTATGGGAAAGACAGAAGGATGAACATCAGAGAACTCACGAACTATGATTTTGTTATAACGACCTATTCCACTGTTCTGCATGAATCTAGGGGAGTTCAGAAGTCATTTGGTGATGAGTGTCCAAATTGCGGCCGATCAATTCGTAAAAATATTGAGTTGCACTTGAGTTACTGCAAATCTAAGGCTCCATCTTCAGAGCAGGGCAAAGAACCCGATAAAACCAATGCCATGGTGCGTAACAGTAGGAAGAAGGCCAAGCAAACTGAGGGAGAAGTTGGAGTACACTCTATTTTTTGGAACCGTATCATTCTGGATGAGGTCAGTAGAAAACCCTACTGTGGACAGACGTGTAAACTAATTTGCTTCTTGCTCTTGATGAGAGATGCCATAGCCTTAAAGATGTGAGCTCTCAACTTAAGGGACCAGTGACTTTTTCGACTCGTCAAGAACTTGTTTTCTATGTTCTAACCAGGCACATTGCATGAGAGATAAACGTAGTAAAACTGCCAGAGCTGTTTTTGCTTTGGAAGCTAAGTATAGATGGGCTTTGAGTGGTACCCCTCTTCAGAATTGCATTGGAGAGCTTTATGCTATGGTCAGTTTTCTCTGTACTTAGTACCTTTATCTCCAAACCTCGCTAATTTTTCCATTTCCTTGACTCCAGATTCGCTTCTTGCAAATTCGTCCATACTCGTATCACTGGTGCAATCATTGCGACTGCTCAATTCTTGATCTGAGGTGAAGTTTGACCACACTAGATTTTCGATTTTCTTATTTTTCTTGTTTATGTTTTGGCGTGTGTAAATAGTTTTCTGCTGTTGGTATAGTTCGTGGAAGCAGTGTCCCAACTGTAGTCATGAAGCCTGGAAGCATTTCTGTTGGTGGAACAAGGTCAGTTTTCTGGGTTCTGTCATTTTCTCTTACAATTTTGACACCCATATCTTTCTATGGTTGTTTACATCTGGTAGAGTTTTTAATAAGTCTTATAACGTGCTAGTATGTGGGTAAGCCAATAAGATACCATGGAAATCCTCTCAGAGGAAAAAGAGCCCTGATATTGCTTAAGCATAAAGTTCTGAAGGAAGTTTTACTAAGACGTACTAAAAAGGGCCGAGCAGCTGATCTCGCACTTCCTCCTAGAATCGTATATTCCCTTGTCTCCCACTCCTTCCTGACTTGGCTAAACTTTCTGTAATGGCACAAAAGTTCTGTAATGTGATCTCTGCCTGCGATGTAGGTAGAGTTGAGGCGAGATTCCCTGGACGTAAAAGAAGCGGATTATTATGAATCGCTGTGCAAAGACAGCCAGGCAAAATTCGACACGTATTCTACCTTTCATTCTACATATTTGTATAGGCTCCTCGGTCACGGTTCATGCTATGTTACGTAATGCAAACTTGTTATTGGCTGTGCCATGTATATTTCTTTTGTAGGTACGTTCAGGCTGGAACTGTTTACAATAACTACGTAAATATATTTGAACTCCTTGTCCGTTTGAGACAGGTGAAAAAAGTATAACAGAAAAGGCTTCGGTTTTATACTCTTGTGTGGTTAAATGAAACATTCTGATGTGCTTTTATGCAATATTTGAAGGCTGTTAATCATCCGTACCTTGTGGTAGTTCCCAATTCAGCAGTCAGAAATGTTGCCTTGACTCGCGACAATGCAAATGACCAAGGATGCTGTATCTGCGATCAGTTAGCTGAGGACCGAGCTGTACGTATCACAGGGTCGTTGATATATTTCTCTTTGGATGTGATTTCTTGAGCATTTGCAAAGGCACTGCTTTCTGTTCCATCGGTTGAGCTATTTGGTTTTCTTCTAATAATTAGCTTTCCTCTTTCCGTTTGAAGGTAGCTCGCTGTGGACATGTGTTCTGCATGGGTTGTGTGCTTGACTTCCCTGGGTTTGAAAGAAATACACCATGCCCAGCTTGCTCGAAACTAACAACTCCGGCCCGTAAAAACAATCAGAAGAGTGCTGTCCCAGGATTTAAAGCCTCAAGCATTATAAACAAAATAAACCTCGACAATTTTCAGTCAAGCACAAAGATAGAAGCTCTGGTATGTTTTTTTCCCTGTTGTAAACTAATCTCTCGACTAACTAAGTTTGAGATTTCTTTTAAAGAAGAAGCATACACCAATGTCCTAGTAAATGATAAATTGTTTTGTACAGAAGGAAGAAATCAGAATCATGGTAGAAAGAGATGGGTCGGCGAAAGCAATTGTTTTTAGCCAGTTCGTGTCGTTCTTGGACCTGATAAACTACGCTCTCAGAGAGGTGAAGCCCTTTTGTCATTCCGCAGTTGAAGAGATTATGTAGAAACTGACAAAGGCTGTGGTGTGTCCTTTGGGCAGTCTGGGGTTAGTTGTGTTCAGATCGACGGTACCAGGACCATGGCAGAAAGAGATGCTGCTATCAGTAAATTCAAAGAGGACAAGAGCTGCCGGATTATATTGATGAGCTTGAAAGTGGGAGGGGTTGCTCTCAATCTCATGGTGGCTTCCCATGTAAGTTCGTTCAAACTTTTGTTTCTTTCTTTTTTGAGGAGTGGTTGTTAATTGTGAGCTTGTGGGTGGATGCATAGGTTTTCATAATGGATCCTTCGTGGAATCCGGCAGCAGAGCGTCAAGCACAGGATAGGATACACAGGATTGGACAGCACAAACCTACCAGGTTACCCCTGCTCTCTAAACTTTCCCCATTGATGCTGCAGCAACTTCTGTCTTGTTGAATGTATTCTGGATCATATGGGAAGTGGTATATACACCGATCAGAGTGGTTCTCGCTCTGACCAACTTCTTGGCTCTCGTTTTCTCGAGCGTATTTGATGTGCTCGGGGACTTGTGGTCGTACATTAGCAGCATTCTCCAGCTTGCATCAGACTCTCATTCGACTGTAGTAGGATAGTGAGATTTATAATAGAGAACACGGTGGAGGAAAGGATTTTGGAGCTCCAAAAGACTAAAGAGGTTTTGATTGACGGGTCAGTCAAATCTGATATGAATCCTCATCTGGTTTCAGACATTATTATTTTTTATTTGTCGTAAGGCGTATTGCATCTGTTGTTAATAGGATGTTGGGGGCAGGCGCCATAGAAGCTGTTCACAGGTTGACTTTGGCAGATCTTAGGTCCCTGTTTCTGTGACGCATTTACAAGCAGATTCATGCGCTTTTGGGATTTGATATTTGATGGAATGCACGTCTGAACGAACATTCGCAACCAAAAAACAGAACAATCAAATCTCAAAAAAGAGTTGACAAAGCCGTTGTCGTTCCCAGTAGCTTCCCCACGCGCTTCCTCAGTCGTCCGAATCGTTGCCTGTTTAACTCTACTTTTAAAAAAAGAGTTGGAGCAACACGCGCCCGTTGAGCGCGTGTGGTGTTGGATCTCCCATGGGAATCTGGTCAACGTATCTTTGTTCACGTCGTCCCCAGCCATTCCAGGTTCTTTCTGCCTGCCTGCCCTGCCCCCCCTCTCGCGTTCTATTTATAGACCAACATTCCGAAATTAAAATCCCCTCAAATTAGAACACGTAACGAAAAACCTCCGCTCAATCTCATTATCCTCCGAGACTGATCGCTAATCCAAGTCATTGATCACCAATTAGTACGAGAAAGAAAAACGATGCCGAGCAAGCTGAAGAAAGCTATCGGGGCTGTGAAGGATCAGACGAGCATCAGCCTTGCTAAGGTCGCCAACGGCACCGTCTCCGGCGACGGAGCTGCTCTCGGGGTCGCCATCCTCAAGGCCACGTCACACGAAGACCTCCCAATCGACGACCGCCACGTGTCCGACATCCTCTCCATCATCTCCTCCGACAAGATCCACGCCGCCGCCTGCGCCGCCGCCATCGGTCGGAGGGTCGGCCGGACTCGGAATTGGATCGTCGCTCTGAAATCTCTCGTCCTCGTCCTCAGGATCTTCCAGGACGGAGATCCCTATTTCCCGCGCGAGGTCCTCCACGCCATGAAACGTGGCGCCAAAATCCTCAACCTCGCCAGTTTCCGCGACGATTCCAACTCCCGCCCTTGGGACTACACCGCCTTCGTCCGCACCTTCGCGCTCTACCTCGACGAGAGACTCGATTGCTTCCTAACCGGGAAACTGCAGAGACGGTTCACGAACCGGGACCAAAGCCAAACCGGAACAACTTCTCGGTTCGCCGTCAAGAACAACGAACCTGCGATTCGAGACATGAAACCGGTGATGCTCCTCGACAAGATCACCTATTGGCAGAGACTGCTCGACAGAGCGGTCGCGACGCGGCCGACAGGAGCGGCGAAATTGAACAAGCTCGTGAAGACGTCGTTGTACGCAGTGATTCAAGAGAGTTTCGATCTGTACAAAGACATTTCAGATGGATTGGCTCTTCTTTTGGACAGTTTCTTCCATTTGGAGTACCAATCTTGCGTCCAGGCGTTTCAAGCATGCGTTCGAGCCTCCAAGCAGTTCGAAGAGCTCAACGGATTCTACGATCTCTGCAAATCGATCGCCATTGGACGTACCTCGGAATATCCGAGCGTTCAGAAGCTTTCCATGGAGTTGCTCGAGACTTTGCAGGAGTTTCTGAAGGATCAGACGTCGTTTCCGACGAACGTTAGGTCTAGCGTTCTCCCGCCGTCGAGATCTTCGAGAGATTCGATGGTTTCGAGCTCCCTTGAACACGGAGATTCGTTTGATATGTCGGATAGATATTCAGATTACGGGTCGTATTGCAGTACGTTGGAGGATCTGATGAACAAGACAGAAGCAGAGGCGAGCAGCCCTCCAATGTCGTGTTATTCTGAACCCTACGAGAGTCGAGAAGATCTCGGGACTAGTTTCGACACTGTTTCCACTAAATCTCTTCCAAACGATCCTTCTGTTCCGAATCCGTCGACAATGGAGCTCGTATCGTTAGAAGATCTCGACCCCGAAACAAAAGACGATAAGGAAAATCAAGAAAATCCAAAGGCTGAACCGAATGATCCTTGGGAGGCGTTGATGTTGAGAGGCGATCGCGGCAAGAACGCGACGAACGTTCCTCAAGAACCCTCACCCTCAGATGATCAGAAAGATTCCGGGAACTGGTTGCTTGCGCTGGAAGAAACCGCGACAACTAAGCAAATACAGGTCGATGACTCAACGGCATTGGCGCCATCTCCTGTCCAAACAGTCCCGGACCAATACAATCCGTTCTTGGAAGATCAAGACGATCCCGATTCCGTTACTGTACCGGAAAATATGACCGGAGGAGGAGAGGCCGCAACGTTTCAGGCGGAACCCACGTTTCGGGCAAACGCCGCCGAGGATTTGGAGTCGTGGTTTGCTCTTCCCACGGTGACGAGTTCGTCGGAGGAACGTGACCCTTTTGCAAATTTGGAAAGTTTTGGGGCCGGAGAGACAATTGTAGGAAATGGGCAATATGTGTTGCAAGAACAGCAACAGTGGTTGCAGAACCAAGACAAGATCATATCTAAGCATTTTAACTGAATGTAACCTCTTCTTTTCTCTTAATGTTTTTATTTTCTTGGTTATGTAATGTTAATTCGTTATATTAGATTTATGGAGATTTTGATGTTAGATATTTAGGTTTGTGTGATTACGTTTCGTCGGCGTAATTCGAACAACTTGAAAGGCCAAACAATGACATAATAGCTGCTTTGGGTTATGGTTATATATATATATATATATATATATATATTATATATATATATTCAGATATCAAAACGAATTATTTGTTAAGCAACTAATCATTCAATTCAAAAGAACAGCTAATCAATTTAATCGCCGAGATTATAGGCTTTTTTCTGTTCAATCAACTATTATTTAACACCAAACACGTGGAAGTCATTCTCAACAAATAAGGCTGTATAAAAAAAATAATCTTATTATAAATATAAAGCAAAAATTCTAAAAAATTCAAAATATGTACATATATACCAAATAAATATCTCAATTTGATCAATTTGTATCATAGATACCAAATCGATTACATGTTGATCTAGGACGATATCAGTTTGTGTTAAATAGATATAAGTTTATATCTATCTGGTATAAATTGAAAAAATTGGGATATTTTTTTGCCAATTCATAAATTGAAGTATTTATTTAATATATTTAAACGAATTTTGGTATTTTTATATAATTTTACCAAATATATAATATATCGAAGGACGGAAAGAGCATGCGAAAAATATTTTAAACTATATTATAAAATTGAAAATTTTAAAATATTGGTATCGAATATAACTACATTACAATTTATTGGGATATATATTTATTCACACATTATCATAATCCAAAAAAAATCCCTCAAATTGAATGCGATATGTGTCTTATCTTATTAATCATTAGAGTATGTTAATCAATTCTATCCTAATTAATCCTATTTTTATATTCACAATATAAACTTTAAATAATACAATAAATCAAAGTTGGTTATTCAAATTTGAAAACATCAAAGGTTAACGTACCGTACGACTAATTTTGAACTCTTTACCATAATCAAGCGAGAGCCCCGCAGCGTCATCCGCTGCCTCGGCCGACATGCAAATCCCCACAACGATAAAGCTAAAAAAAATAATACACCAATTAACAATTTTTATTTTTATTTTTTGTAAAGTGCTTATAATTTTTTCATTACAAGTAAACAGAAAAAAATATTTATATATACTTGCCACTTGGAGATAAAATTGAATATATATATATATGGGCCCTAACAAAGACTATGCCCTTTTGCACCGTTTTATATAGCAATCTCTATGTTCCTCATAACAAAAAAAAAAATCTCCTACTTGGGTTATTCTGTTATTATTCTGCTTATATAAGATCACATTTTCATTTCATTTCATTTCATTCATATGATATTATTATCACATTACCGTTGATATTAGATTATGCATTGGTGATTGACGGTCCAAGGTCGATTTGATTTCAGAGGAAGAAGCAACAAGGAATGAAGGTGATCAAGTGGAAGAGCACGGGAAGTACAAGAGCGTAGAGCACAGAGTGGTTGCTCAGAAGAGCGTGAAGGAACGGCTGGGATTTGCCGGGATCGGATGCTGTGGGCCCATATGGAGCGATCGTCAATCCACCGTCGATCCGGAGGAGATCGCTGATCCGACGGCAGAGAATCCATCTTCACCGCTTTTAGTGCGTCCCAACGGTCAGATGAACCTGGCGATGGCGTTGGCCGCAGAGCGGAAGACGATGATGAGACTGATCGAAGAAACGGACGGTGGAGATGAAATGGGGAATGATTGGATGTGTGGCGTGTGTATCGATAGGAGCAAGGGCGCCGCTTTTATCCCCTGCGGTCACGCCTTCTGTAGAGTGTGCTCCCGAGAGCTCTGGACCAATCGAGGCTCTTGCCCCATTTGTAACCGTCCGATCCGTCGGATCCTCGATATATTCTGATCCATCGCTATTTTGGTTCCTAGAAAAGAACATTCATATCGTATGGGCTTCTCAATATCATTTGATTATTAAATCAATATTATTAGCCTATTAGGTTTGGGTCTTTATTATATACACAGCAATTGTCTATATACACGTAGGCCCATTTCTGATTTCTAAAAATACCACAAAGTTTTATATATTGCTTCACGGCCCAATATAACTTCAAATTGATAGATTGGAGTAATGAGAGGAGGGGTACGTAGGTCCATCCATGAATATGATTCGTGAGGTCATGTGGGCTGTGGTCGAAGCTGGATCTTGACCCCATGAGAGAGACTACGTACCCAACACACACACATCTTTTTTTTTTTTTTTTGTTGATAACCGAGAGGTTCACCTGGGCCTTCGGCCCAACCTACATCCCCTCAAGCCCGGGAACAGCCTTTAGAGGCCCGGTGACAGGGGCCCAGAGAGCAACACCCTCCCAACCGAGAAAACACCCCCTCCCTCCCCAGCAGCTGGATTCGAACTGGTGACCGGGGCCCCAAGAGCAACACCCTTTCAACCACTCGCCCACTACTTACTGGATAACACACATCTTCCTTCTTCCTCTTCTTCTTATCATTTTCACATTAAATTTTAGTTTTCCCTACCAAGAATCCCATTTTTTACCAATCCCCATATTAATTTATAACAAACCGCATCATATTCAATAAACCCTTATTTATTTACCAATCCCCATATGTTTCATGCAACATATGACAAGGTTCATAAGAAAATAAAACGGAGAGGAAGAAGATGATTTAAGCTCATTGACCTTATTATATACAAGATTAATTGTACCCACTTTTGAAAATATTAGTAATAGTTAGGACTAACAAAATATAATCTTTTAAGTGATAATATTTTGTATGACACCATGATTGGATTTTATTAGTTTTTTTTTAAAGTTTAAATCCGATACTATTTATGGATATAAAACTTCTCAAGGCGATAAAATTGAAACGTGTTCATCTTTCTAATGCAGTTAATTTTTCCTCTGATTTCGAATTTATCCAATGTTTTTCCTAATTAAAACCCAACCGGTATCACTCGTTTTCTTCCCTTTGTTAATTATCTTGTCAATATTCTAAATCTATATAAAAACGATTTTTTGAATATTTTAATTTGATATATTTTCCCAAAAAATATCATTTTTAAAGAAATGATGATGGCTTTACTATTTATTTGCCAAAAGTTAGGTTGTTGAGCTCGATAAAGAAAATATCACTGAATGTGAAACTTGCAATTTGGTGACGTGATTGAAGTTTAATTTACCATTAACGTATTTCCCATCATTGTTTAATTAAATAGTTGGTTTTTGTCATTCTGCATATTAATTATTTTTTGTATTACATTGTTTTTTTTTTTAGGAAAATAAGAACTTTGATCCATTTGTTTCCGGTATACTACAACTTTGACACGTTATCTATTTTTTAAATTTGTATGAGGTGACGCATGAAAATTTTGTCCAAACATGGAATATTTCTTTTATAGGATACAGTAATTATTCATCTTGACTCTTCATAAATATATTATTCATGACAAAATAAAATAAAATAAAATAAAATAATTCCGTCCATCATCTCTGAAATCTATTTTGTCGTCATTTGTTAACTCTTACGTTTTTATTTCAATATATAACAATAATAATAATAATAAATTATAATATCGCATATAAGATTCTTCCACGAAAATGGGGAGCGAAAACAAATAGCTACACGATAAATAAAAAAAAAAGCTTTCGTACGTTACCGATAATCCCCGCAAACGTTTTCTTTGGTCGGTCAAAATATTAGAGGACGAAATTTCCAATAAAAAATTACAAAGGTTTTTGGGACGTATTTAGATATGAAAAAAAATATATCAAACCTTAATTTCATCTCTTTCCACACTTTGCAATGAGAATTAATAATTATGTTTATACGATAAATATAAAATACACGTTGGTTAATAATATTTTATCGTTTCTTTATTTTCGGAAAGTCTCGAGTCTCTCTACAATTAGATCATATTCATATGACCATTCATATTTTAAATATGTGAAATGTGGACCAAACATGAAAAAATATATATATTAGAGTGAACGCCACGGCATGTTTAGGTTCATGCACTTCACATCATATCATATCAAGGCCTTTTGTCTTTGTCCTATTTGACATGTGAATGGTATGATATAAAATGATAACAATAATAACGACAATGATAATAACAATTTTAAGTCACATAATTACAAAAAAAAAAAAACAATTTCAAGTTACATTAAATTTTATTTGTCAAATGTCATAATCTTCTAGTTAAAGGTAATCGAGATACGACCGAGTCAGCAATTCAAGTCTTGCAACATAAATCTGAAGTCGATGACAAGTGAAAAACCAACGTTTACCACAAAATCGGCTGCTCCAAATGTCAAGGACGGTCAAACTATTTCTAAAATTTTATTTACCGTTTTTTACAAACTTAACGTCGATTATGGAAATTATTTTTTCTCTTGAAATTTTCCTGTAATGTCTTAAAATAGAAACTGATTTAAGCAAAGTGTAGTTTTCGAGTTTATAGTAAAATTGAAAATAGATGCGTTTTTCACTTGGGATTTGATATTTGTCTCACAAATTAGGAAGGTCTTCCAAGAAATATTTAGTTCATAGTCAAATATATAATAAATTTCCGATGGCTGAAGATTATATATACAGTCCTAGTGATTGTACAATTCTCAAGCAAGAGAAAATATGTGTACTATATATTAATGATCACATATGTGTGTGTAAATACATCTCACAAAGGGCCACGTGGAGTAATCTAGACCACACGTGAAAACTTTCAAGGAGGATCTGAACGGTCATACATTGTGTGCTCAGGATACTGCAAGTGGACGTGCGCACAGGGAAGTTTTACCAAGATGGCGACATTCCAAATTTCTAATTCTAGCGTAACCCACGGACCAAAAGTGGTCATCACCCCATGTCATGTCAATTTGATATATATATATATATGCGATTAAGTTTTTTGTACAATTTTAAAATAATCTATTTTATTATTAATTAATTTTTATAATATCAAAAACTGATGTTTGAACTATAGTTTTAAAAGTAAAGTGTTAATAGTTTAGTCTAAATAATGGTGCCAACGAGGTTAAATATAATAAAACGTTATATTTCAAAAAAAAAATGTGACTTTTAATTTCGAATAGAAAAGTTATTATAGCTATATTTTCGTACAAATACAAATATTTAGCAAAAATTTATGATGAAAGTTTTGATTTTCCACCAAATCCGATAATCATTGTTGAAACGGCATTAAAACTTTTGACCGAACATCAAAGTGATTAAACATGTATTAATAATCTTAATATAATGATCGAAATTATCAGCAAAAAGCAGCCACACATGCGTGCGTTCTATCCGAATAAAATACTAACTGAAACTCTCCATATTACAATATTGTAATGAAAAAAAAAATACAACAGAAACCAATCCATTGAAATTTTCAAAAGCATGCTTTATAATGTTTTTTATTCGTTTATGATACACTGGTAGTAGGTCAATTGGTACAAGAAGGCACTCATTGACCGGTGTTAGTAAAAGCCGTGATTTACAAGTCGTAATTATAATAAAAATTTGAATTGCATTGAATTTTAAATTGTAAAAAAAAGGGATATAATGAATTGCAATAGATATTATTTAGTGTGAGGTCCAAAGACCCAACTACACTGTGGAATTATGAAACGTGGAACCATTCAATGCCAAAGCGCTGCTGTCTCTATAAATACCAATCCCCCAATCCTCAAGCTCCAACACTTCAAAAGCTCCCAAAGTCTTAGTTTGGTAATAAACAAAAAAGAGCTAGAGAGAGAAAAGAGAGAGAGAGAGAGATGGAGAACTTCCCAATCATCAACTTGGAGAAGCTCAACGGAGATGAGAGAGCAGCAACCATGGATCTGATCAAAGATGCTTGTGAGAATTGGGGTTTCTTCGAGGTCAAAATCCTTTGTATTTTTTTTGGAGATCGGTGTTTATATACACAATTTGTAAAAAAACACAATCTTATTTGATTCTCTTTGTTTTGTTTTTGATATTTGTATTTTTTTTTTCTCAAAATTAAAAAAAAAAACAGTGTGTGAACCATGGGATACCGCATGAGCTGTTGGACAGAGTGGAGAAGATGACAAAGGAGCATTACAGGAAGTGCATGGAGGAGAGGTTCAAGGAGTTGATGAAGGAGAGAGGACTCGACGCTGTTCAGTCAGAAGTCAACGACGTTGACTGGGAGTCCACCTTCTTCCTCAAACACCTCCCCATCTCCAACATCTCCGACATCCCAGATCTCCACGACGATTACAGGTACATTCATTAATTCTCCACACCGGTCCCGGTTCTATTCGGTTCGGTTCGGTTATTGGATTGGTTGAGAGTATAGATGAACTTGGCAGGGCGGTGATGAAGGAATTCGCGGCGAAGCTGGAGAAATTGGCGGAGGAGCTGCTGGATTTGCTGTGTCAGAATCTCGGTCTGGAAAAAGGGTATCTTAAAAAGATGTTCTACGGTTCGAAAGGGCCGACCTTTGGGACGAAGGTGAGCAACTATCCGCCATGTCCGAAACCAGACCTGATCAAGGGGCTTAGGGCACACACAGATGCAGGCGGCATCATCTTGTTGTTTCAGGACGACAAGGTGAGTGGTCTTCAGCTCCTCAAGGACGGAAAATGGGTCGACGTCCCCCCCATGAGACACTCCATTGTCGTCAACCTTGGTGATCAGCTCGAGGTAATATACCATACTTTCACTCACAGTCTCTCTGGTTACCAGACCGGTTTGGTACAGAGCAAGCCGGTTTAAACCTAACCGGATTACGGGTGACAGGTCATAACAAACGGGAAGTACAAGAGCGTAGAGCACAGAGTGGTTGCTCAGACGGACGGGACGGGACGAATGTCGTTGGCGTCGTTCTACAACCCGGGAAGCGACGCCGTGATTTTTCCGGCGGCGGAATTGGTCGGAAAAGATGAAGCGGAGAAGGAGAAGGAGATTTACCCGAAATTCGTGTTCGAAGATTACATGAAGCTTTACTCTGCTGTCAAGTTTCAGGCCAAGGAGCCCAGGTTCCAAGCCATGAAAGCTATGGAGAACAACCTAGCTGTGGAGACGGCTTAAACATATATACACACCTATATATATAGTATAATATAACGAGTATGAACTCATAGCACGATTGTTTGAGTAAGAAGGAAATAAATAAATTGTACGAAGGAATATTCGCTTCGAGAGAATCGGTATTATAAGTTATTGTTAACGAAAGTTTAATTGGTTGGTGGTGTGTTTTTACCTTTCAATATAAACTAGCATGCAAATACGTGGCATTCGATTTGCATATATCTATAATCTATATAATAAGATTATCCTAAAACATAGATATTTAATCCCCCCGTTCATTCCTTATGATGACGAAGAACAACTTAAATGTTTTTTTAGTTAATAATATGCTTATCCCTTTTATAGTTAAATTAATTATGAAGAGAGCTATGGGCTTTGATTATGGGCCATAGGCCCATAGGATTTGGCAGATGAGATGATTGGGTATGGGCTTTAGTTAACGGGCCATAAACATTGGGTATGGGCTATTAGCATCAGATCATATCATATCACACATCCAATTCCATTCAGGATAATACTCTCCAAGGAGTTTCTGATTGTCTCAGAGGGTATCAAAGGGCAACGTGGTCATTTTACGAGGTTTTGCTTAGACGTCGGCCGGTGGCTCTCCCCGTCGAACATGACGGCGGCATCCTTGGAAATCACGGAGAGAGCCGGTCATCTCCACCTCAGTGACCCCCTTACCCCCACTACTGCTCCGCCGCGATCGCGTCGGCGCGTGGTGATTCCTGCTCGGAGGACACAGTGGCGGCGCGTGTGAAATGATCCCGCCGCCGTCGCCGCCGGCTGGTTCGTCTCGCTCCTCCGAAAGTACAGAACGGCAACACTGAATGAGCAAAGAGAAAATCATTGTGGTTTCTTCTGATAATGTGATGAAGGAATCATACCCTTATATGTATAATCATACCCCTATACGTATGCAAAGATGTGTATTCAAATTTTCCAAATTTGAGTTACTCGGATTCAGATTTATTTTATTCAACCTTTTGCCTTGTATTATTGGAATGGACAGTTTCTGCTATTTTGCGTTATTTTATATTTTTTTTTTATGTATTTCTAATAAATTCGGAATATATATATTAACAATCCACGTACTGATAATCCCAATTAAATATAAAATAAAACCCTAAGGCGTAAGGCCTCCAACTAAAGTAGTACATAATCGAAAACCATTTTATATATTCTGAAAGTTCGGTCTTAGATTACACATTTTTTTCTAATTTTTTAAATACGTTATCGATATGTTTAACGTTATTATATTATATAATATGGAGATGACCAACTATGTAATTTTATTTTCCATTTATAAACTTTATATTTAGAATATATCAATGAAGACTTGACATTTTTTTTCATATAAGACATTCATTTAACGCATAAATCCTAAAATTATAGTTTTTTTTTAAGAGATCACAGGATTGAATGTTCGGAGTAAATATTCCCAAGCGTTGGGTTTACATGAAACAGTGATCCAGTTATATGGGAATCATGTATTTACACCGTTTGTGGTTGTTTATTATACAATCAATATTCTAAAAATTGTAATGTTCGGGTCATATACGTACATGGTACATGGCGGCCCGTCAGTGTTCATCTCACGGCAGGCTCCAGATTCTCACAACAGCCCACCTTGCATGCCTTGCTGTCACCACTTCTTGCATTCGGTAACGCCTATGCACGCCGCCATCTCCCCAAATAAACCTATAATAGTTGCAAACTCCAAGAAGCTCGCCGCGACGGCGGTCGGCATAGACTTCGTCGCATTGATAACGTTTCCATCGCCCACCATTTGCGATCCTATCTCTTTTTATGCGCGTCATGAATAAACCCTCTTGCCCGGCCAACGCTTCAAGTTCTTCCGGCGTTCGCTCGTATATGTTCTCCTCACGAACAATGCCGTCCGGTGTGTAACGCCGCACGGGCCTCAAGTATCTTAGGATGGTGGCCCTGGGATTCATGAGAGAGAGAGAGAGAAGACCAAGATAGACTTTCTTGGAAAATGATTTGATGATCTTTCCCTCTTCTCATTAAAAATCTGTTTCAAATGAGTTATATAGTGACGGAGTTTGTTGTGATTATGTACGCGACCGCGCATGAAACCTTTGGAATCTAAATCTAATTTCTGAAAATATGAAAATGTGATTAGACTATATTAGAATGCGATTTTTTAAATTGAATTATAGGAAAATAGGCGGGTCGTTTGATTGAGATCTATAATTTTTTCGGATCCCACTGATCCATCCATTTATTATTCGGATCTATAATCGATGATTTGGTATCTGAATCTATAAGATTTCAGGCGGATCGTTCGACCGGATTTCAGATATTTTCTATTTAATAAAAAAAATAAATATTAGTATAAAATGATGATGATGAATATGATGGTCTGGAGCCATTTAACAACAAAAAAAAATTAAAATCAATAATAGCAAATTTTTTGCTTCCCTTAATTCCAATTTTAAACTTTTAAATCTAAGAAATATCATGTAAAATTTAAAATATACAAATATATCTAACATCTTTAAATATATAAGAGATCACTACAATAAAATTAAAAAATATCGATATAAAATTTAAAAATAAAAATAGACGTTTGTTTTCATGATACGAGAATATTAATATTAGATTATTTTTTGTAGGAATGATCACACAAGTTATTTTGGTTAATTTTTATAAGATAATTGATGGAGTTTTTAAATCGAATTTTTGCTTGGATAAATCTAAATCCAACTGAATCCGAATCCAAACTGATTAAAAATATATATCCGATATAAATATTTTAACCGAATCTGATTAATGGGAATGGATACCCTTAATCCTGATACTGATAGGAGAAAATTACAAGATCTCGTTTCCTTTTACTGTTGGAATTTTTGTTTATCGAATTTTTCTTTTGGATAAATCTAAATCGAACTGAATCCACTATATAAGCGGCGAAGAGAAGCGAGGAGAGACAAAGACGAAAAGAATGGCGGCGTTAATAATGCCGAGCTTAGCAAACGTGACAGTGTGCACGTGGAAACCACCATGTCTGTCACGAGTGGCCGGTCTCGGAGCTGTCGTGGTCAGATCGGAGGGCTGCTTAATAATATTCTGTTTTCCTTTGGTGAGATCCAGCGGAAGAAGAAGAAGCCTCGACTCCTGGCTCGACTTGTTCAAAGATGCGATCCACTCTTTCTTTTTCGTTGCCCGCGATCTACCCGACGAGGCCGCTCGTCAGGCCGTCGAGTATCTCGGCTGCAACTTCTCGTTGGGAGATCTGCAGGGCGTGCCCCCCGCCTCTCCCGCTCTCCTGTTTGTCGTCGATTTCAAGACCAAGGGAATAGCCGATGACGGAGGATTCCGAAGCGATGACTACCTCTTATGGCGTCTCAAGCAGAAATTCAGGTTTCCCGACAACGAAGAGCACGAGCTAGTGACCGTACACCCTCCTGCCGCAGAGATGGTCTACGGGTTCCAAAGCGACGATGGCGAATGCTGCTCGGTTTGTTCCACAGGGTTTGTCGCCGAGGGAGACGGAGAGGTGGCCGTGCTCCGGACAATCTGCGGCCATGTCTTCCATGGCGGTTGCATCGCTCGTGCTTTGGCCCAACACAACTCCTGCCCTGTCTGCTCCGCAAGTTTTCCACACCCCATCGACATCCGAACTACTCTGCTTTCTTAGATTTTCCTTTTTAAAACTTTAATTACACCGATCACCAATGATCTTCTTATTTCTATTTTTTTTTATCTTCTTTGATGAACTCTGAGATTCTCCAAGACTATAGGAGTTCGTTGGAAAATTTAGGATCCATTAGTTTCAGTTTGATTTGGTCTCTTTGTTTTTCACTATTTATTTTGCTATTTTTTTTAAAAACCAAAATAAGGCATTGACCCTCCAAAGCGCAAATATGCAGAATTTGTACCCAACTAGTTAATATATGTAGAAAAAAAATAAAACAATACGAAACTTATATTTATTTTGTTGTTTTGTAAGACTAATATCGGAAAAAACATAACTAAAGAAAAACATAAAATCGCATATATTAGTAGGGATATTATATGGTTAGCAGTTTTTAGTCAATTAATGATGGGCTTTGGCTATGGGCTTTTAGCATCAGATCGTTCTGTTCGGGATAGCAGCGGAGTTTCTGATTCTCTCGGAAGGTACGTAAGGGCAACGTGGTCATTTTACCAGTTCATCGGATATGCGTCATTTTGCTACCTTGGCTTTCATGAGTGTGTTGGGCGACACAAAGCAATCAAAGTTATAAATATATATATATACATATAAAGAGAGAGAGAGAAATGGTAACGTGCAAGTTTTCCGGTTGAGGCTTGTCATCACAATCACAAAACCATAGCCGGAATACAAATTTTCCGGTGACCCATGTCATGCCTCAGAATCCTACTGACACTGATTCCTATATATACGTATTTGTATACGTATATAATCTGCCATTACTACTGTACCTAGAATGCTTGCACTCACCTTCCAAAAAGAGAATGAAAAACGATTATTGATTCCAAATAAGGAAAAGGGAAAGAAGAATGATTTTCTCTCGTCGGCGCAAGAAACGCAACACAAGAACTCACGAATCTCTCCTAATCTTTTATTCAGCAAAGGCGTATATATGGATGGGCCAACGGATGGGTTATAAAACAAGTCTTGGCTTTTACCTCCTGGAGCAAGAAAAAGACATGGGAATATGCTTCAAGCTCGAAATGTCGAATAACTCCATGAACCGTTGATCTGAAACCCTCGCTTTGGCCGCTGCAAATCGCTGATACTCGTCGAATATCGATGTTAAGCACCATTTCTGGAGTTTCCTCAAGCACCCGACAAGGCAACCCGTCCGATGCTGCAGATACGGAATCATATGTACTCTTATCGTTTATTAAATAGTTGACGGAAAGAACGTAGGAGAGAGGGATGATTTACATACCTTTCCTCGGTTGCAATGAATCAGAGCAGGACGGTTTTTCTCATCTGAGGTCAGTAGAGATAAGATACACGTACGTCATGAATGAATACAGATGACAAATATACAACAAGTTTTAGTTTTCGGTTAAGGGATCTTATACGATTCATACCGAGAAGGACTTTGAGTGCTTCGCGGATTCTATCGTCGGGAATGTTTACAAAAGGCTCCTGAAATTAGAAAGAGGAGATAAGTATAGATGTTGTGTTTTGGTTCCTAAGATTTCATGCCAAGATATGACACAGTTACTCTCTATTCTAGCTTTGCACAAGTTCTGTCTAATGCATGGATCTCTCAGCTTAGCAGTTAGCAACCAGATATTAATCATTAAACATGTGAAAGTGTTATATGTTCTCTTGCGGAAAAAAGAGCCACCGAACATATTCTTCCTATACGAAGAGTTATATCTACAAAGTCGTAAAAGAAATGAACACAAAATCAAAGAGGGCCATAGAGGAGAATCCATGACCAGCCAAAGATATCAAAGAAAATGATTCCCATCAAGACCAAAAATGCCGCACCCAACACACGGAACCTAATGAAACGACTAGACGAAAACGACCGAAGAGATCCAACAAACAAAATGTAGACGTAGAATATCCAACACCCGCCTCACATCTTTTTAGCATCCAGATCAATAGTTTTAAAGATGGGGTAGAAAGCGATTCACTTCTTATTCCATATCAGAAGAAATAGATTGGAAGACCTGGTTATGTAAAGGGCTACCGTAATAAAGAACATCACTAAAGTCTAAAGGAAACATGAGATCAAAATATCCCGGGAAGAGGATTGACAACACAAGGTTGATATTGGGGCAGAAAGAGAGAGAGATCTCTACCAGAGACAACTCATAAGCTCAAGAATATATGCTTTTAAAACCTCTCTTTTCAGTTATCAAGATTCTGTGTTATCCATCACAAGTTCAACAGATAACCTGGTTTTTAGTTCTTACGAATGTGCTTGACTCCTAAAAATGTTTGGATCAGAGGTTTTCTTGGTCACAACACTGTGATCAAGCTTTCCGTTATTCCATCTCTTAACAACATTTGCCCGAAACAAAAAGCCATATTAAAACATGAGCCACTAAAATATTGTTAGAGGAAGCAAAACATTAAGGTGGTTTAACTACAGTAATCGCCAACTCGGAGTACCTACCAGCAACTAACTAGTGGACACCTTTGTCTCTCTAGTCACTGTCTACAAGTTGTTAAAAACTGAAACCCAAAAAAAAAAAGATTTACAACTACTACTTTTGCAGCCCCATGAAACGCTTACCCAATAGTATGATAACTTAATTAAAGGGTTTTAAATAGAAACAAAAACATAAGATATCATGCCGGATTCCACGCAATAACATCAACCAAGAAATTAAACAACATGAACAAGCCACAAGGAAACGAAGCTTTTGAATAGTGGATGTCTGACAACACTTAAAAGGAAGATACTCAGCATTGCTTTGGCGCAGCCCATTATCGAGTAATCAATACACAAAAAAAAGATCAAGTGGTAATGGCTGACGAAGAAGAAAACAGCGGGACCAGGCCAAGAAAAAAAGGTTTTTTTTTTGGAAGTTCATATTATAAAACATGGATAGAAACACACCCTTGAAGGGTACGTGTGTTGGTCCCAAGATCAAGTTTAGAGACAAAAATTCAAACGTGAAACTTAATCACAAGAACCGAAGCAAAACCAATTGACAAAACAAGAAATTAGTGAGACATGTCTAGGGGAAAAATAGGCAAACATCAAGAGGTTTCAAACAAGAACTATGGACCCCGAAAACCCGGAGAACCCGAAAATTCCGAAAAATAGTATTAAGGGCAGTTAATACCAAAGTTATCGAAATTCCATTTGTAAATGGACCCTCTTTCTGATGCTTAGAACTCCAATTACGCAACCAAATCGGGTTCTCAAATCCAGGGACACACTGCAAATTCCAAAATAATCCGAGAAACATGACTTTCAAATCTGAGAATTTAGGTTGTGAATTCACGTTTGAACATCCCGGCCAACAACCCCGATCCGCAAATAGAATCACAGAACAAGCCAATCGCCGGAAATCTTCAAATTGTTGGAACACACGGACCAGTAAAAACAGATAGAATCAAATAACACTCACCTTGTATCCTTCAATGCCAAACTGAAAGAGCCTAATTCCGTTCGATTTGAGGAATTCCATGTTGCTCTCCGGGTATGGCTCCGGACACAAATATCTTCGCACAAAAGAATTACCCAAAAAAAAAGACCTAAAAATCAGCAACGCCTACGCTTTTACGCTTCAATTATATTCGAATATTCACCAAATTGATCAGAGAAGCTTACATGATGGAACGAAGGCCGAGAGTCTGAAGGAAGGAGAAGTTCGCAGAGTCAGGAAACCCAGACCTGAATATGCCATTATCGACCATTGCGAAGTTCAACGGCGGTATCAGGTTAAGTTCCTCGCCGGAAACAACTAGCCGGGACTCCGCCGCCGCCGGAACCGGAGAAATCTCACTGCGGTCAACCACCGCAACCTCGATCGTACGGCAGCCATCATCTTCCTCGTGCTCCTCCTCCTCTTTCACCACCAGGAACTTGTCCGTGGTCTTCTCCACCAGTTTCATCTCGGCAGAAGAATCTAACGGATTTGAATTTCGAAGATTTTTGCCTGAATCTGAGATCCTGCTGTTGAAGGAGAAGAAAGCAGTTAGAATTCTTCCCGTGTTTTTTTCTGCCACTTATCTGTTTTATTCCTTTGGGGGTTTTGGTATGGGAGATGGTCGTTACGTAACGGCGACAATGGCTTATATAGACACCCCGTTTTAGAGAGAGAAACTCTGTTGCTGTTGGACTTCTAGAGAGAGAGAAAAAAGATTTTTTTTATTATATTTATTTATTTATTTTATTTCGAAAAAGCAATACAAAGTTGGGTTCGGTAACTATTGTACATAGTCAAAGACAAAGTATGTGTAAAACCACGGGAGAAAACATTTACAAGTAAACCAATATAAACAGGAATATTTATTTATTTATAATGTCTTTAGATCTGTCATTAAAGAAATGATACAAATCATTAGATCTATTGGCATGGATTTTTTGTAGATTAAAAATTACTCAATTAGATTTTAATCATATTCGTAATTCATCATGGTTTTACTTGTTTACTATGTACGATTTCATTCGAGTTTGTTTATAATTATGTTTTTTTTTAAATCGACTATTAAAACTGCTGTCATTTTTATCATTGAATGACATAAAATGGATCGTTTTTAATTTGATTTAATCTCATAATCACAGACGCATGCATGATTGGAAAGTAAAACATCACATGATAGGAAATTTAAAAAAAAAAATCAAATTTTATATATTTCAAACCGTAATTTAATTTAATTTTAATTTTGTGGTTTCCGTGGTGAAGTATTTGACTCGTTCAAAGATTTGATTGGTATCATAAGAGAGATTAGATATCATGGTTTTTTTCTTGAGATATATATGATTAAGTCTTTGGACTATATCAAATAGCACGGCAAAATATGGATAAATGTAAACAATAGAAATTTTATCCGTTAGTTTATCTCTTCCGTTGTAACAAATCAATTTATATGAATTATAAAAGAAAGTATGCATTAATGAAATTTGTTTGCTGATATAATTACTACTTATTTTGCATTTTTTTATTGTATTCAAAGTTTTAATAAAAAAATAAAAATAAATATATTTATTGTAATATTATATAAAAAAGTAACTATATTTTTGTACCTAGAAAACGCCAGCTTAAAAATATGTCTTGATAAGATTTTTAGATAATTAAAAACGTATTTCTTAGTATCGAAAATTCAATTTATTATATAAAGTCCTAAAGATTATAATTTTAAGACGTTGAAATCTTATTATTTCTGAAAATACAATCGGAGATTTCCTCTCTAGTCGATTATATAGTTTAACGCTAGTGATTTCTGCTGCTTACATACATGTAAGTACGTAACTATTTTCCGGCATGCACTTACTTGAATATTAAAAAAAATACAACGAATACATTAAATATTAATCTTCATAAAAAAAGAAAATAATACGGACCAACGGAAAGAAACATAACCGGACAATAATTAATTAAATTTAAATCCACGTCACGCGTTTGTCTTCCATGTAAATCACAACAGAGAGGGAAACAAATTTAATTATGATAATTACTGAAAATACATAAATATACGAGAGAGAGAGAGAATCTTCTGATGGGTATATCGAAATTTTATTGGATAAAAAAAATAAGAGCAATATTTTTTTATATTAATTTTTTTTTTAAAAAGGTACATTCTTAGGAATATGCTTTGGATCCGGGAAAGTGCGATGGAAGCGCGAGCCCTGCGCCACGTACGTACTGTTTCACGCCTTTTGTGTCTTTAACCTTTATATTACCGTACGTATAAAAACCCTAAAACTGTCAATAAAACATAACATCTTAAACCTAATTTCGTGTTGGAAATTTATCTAATTTATGGATTTATTATGTCTAATTGCTTTCTGCATTGTAATTTACCATCGCGTGTGTGTGTGTGTGAATGATAAATTTAGATAATAGTATCGATGTTACTAATTAAGGTTGATTTTCATATATACTTTAATATTCTTTGCAAGTAGAAGTGATGAACTTCAATATTGCACAAAACATATTCATCCTATATATATATACACACACATTTCCATGATCTTTTTTAAAAACTTTTTATTTTATTTTATTACAATATATATACACAAATACGTCAGTCCAACAACAACAATTTCATATATTGAAATAGAAACTTGCAAAACAGGATCCAGATCATCCACGCTCTCTTCCTTTGGACACTTTAATATCATACACAAAGTGCATATATATATATATATATATATATATATTTGATTGTGTATATATGTGTGCGCACACACACACATGAACACTTGCATAGAGATGAATCTAAGGTAATAAAAAGATCTCAGGCCACTCTCTACTCCTTGTTTTTATTATAATCGAGAGATTCACCTGAGTTTTCGACCCAACCTACATCCCCTCAGGTCCGGAAGCAGCCTTTAGAGTACATTTAAGGGTCCAGAGAGCAACACCTTAAATGCATCCCTTCCTCCCCATCAGCTGGTTTCGAACTGGCGACCGAGGTCCAGAGAGCAACGCCCTTTCGGCTTTCGCCATTCGGCCACCCAATGATGGGTTTGTTTTTGGTCAAATAATTAATATATCATGTAAAATGAGGGGTTATAGACAACAGAAAACGAGTTTGGAGGTCTCATGAAAACTATATATTATTTAAAATGATATAATAAATACTAACTCCACTTTACATTAGTAAATGAAACGATTTTTTTTATAACAAGTTGGTCGGCTTTACAAAGTAGGGGGGAGAAAAAGAAGATCCAACCTTTTCCAAAGTAAAAAAAAGTCATATCTATATATTCTGTATAAATATATTCTTTGTCTCAAATAAAATAAATACTAACAAAAGGAATCCGATTTATATCATAATACTCATGCAAAATACATGTTCAAGTTATGTATATGCGAATTAAACGCATACAATACAAAAAAAAAAACAATGTTATTTATATCGTTTCTACTGTTTTTTAATTTGTTTTTAAGTGACACATATTATTCTACGCAAAAAATGCGTAGTGATATAATAACAGAAGTTTATAGGTACGTAGGTTTAAGAAATTTTAATTTTTGTAATGATTAAAATAATATAATTTATATAAAAACGATGAGGTACGAACTAGATATGAAAATAAAATGTTTTTCGTAATATTCAAAGAGTAAAAAAATTGTTCATTCGATCAAGTGTTTCAAGAAGTGCTTGCAAGTCTTTATTTATTTTTTAATTATTCAACGGAGAAAAGTGAAAACTACTCGTGCGGATGACGATCGCTCTTACCGTTGCAGCACAAAGTTAATTAATAAAAAAGGGAGAAATATAATTATAAAAAAAAAAAGAAAATTGGATCAAGTGGCCAAATATTCCATATAAAATCAACAACTAAATTATTAAAAATTCGCAGTTTTCACACCGAAAATATGCCCAATCGGTTAAATCGACTTCGGCTTTACATATAAAAAGTACAAACACGGATCGATCAACAACAGACTGCATCAAATTACTTTATATGCAGCTCAATATGGATTTGAATGTTTTTTTTTTGTGATAAGGAGGACACTAGCTGCTAGCCTTCGGGCGCGCTGACTAGGTATCGGCCCGGAAACAACCTTTGTATATAGATCATATAAACCCAGAAATTACCTCCCTCTCCACCCGACAGGAATCGAATACTCAACCTCAAGGTGGAGTTACCTCCTATCCCAAGCTTGACCACTCGCCCACGATCTGTTGGGTATATGGATTTGAATGGGTTTAATTGATATCAATGTCTGATCGGAATCGGATCATATTTAATTTGGTTAAGTTTTGGTTTTTTATTAAGTGATTTAGATCGTAATCGAATGTTTCTCAATTATGATAAAGAAAAAACGAAAAACAACAATCTGAAATCCAATTCCAATGTTCCATCATCATGAGAGAGAGGTGTGTGGTCGATGGTGAGACATCGGTGGTCCTAAAACTCTAGTTTAGCCATTATTTAGAATCCCCATATAATATTTTTTCTTTATAATTTCCATTATATATATATATATATTAAAGTAGTAAAATATCATTACACAAATCGTTATAACATGAATAGTAACAAGACTAAGTTCCATTTTCGGATTTAGACTTAACCATTATATTTTACAATTCCAACGAAGATACAAGCATGCCAATTTATAATTGTTATTAACAATGAAATTCTTCACTATCAATTCAAAAAATAATAATTTATTTTCTTCAACAATATCCAAGATTTTACAAGTTAATTTATTCAATATCGGCGCAAGAGGAGGAAAAAAAATAATACTCCAATGGCCCAAATCCAAAACATGATGTATTTTGCGAAATAATTAGAGCCGCTAAATGAGAAAGAAGGTGTGATAATTAGGAGGCTCACTTTTGGAGGTGATGTATTTTTTTTTTGCTTAGCCACCATCGTTATATAATAAGTTGGGACGATAATTTTGTGATTAAATAAGCGCAATTGCAATTTTTATATTTCACTTCGACCTAATTATTCTATCATACAAGTCAAATCATAATAACATTAGCTATATATGCCTAAACATCAAATTGTATATATATAATTAAATAAATATAAATGATGCGGCACCTCGTTATCGCGACGCAACTGAGTTAATGACTTGCTCCAACAGTAACCATTGATTTCATGTCGTGTGACGTGTACCTATAGTCTATTGACAAGTTAGATCCTATTTATTTATTTATTTATTTTATTGGACCGTGCAACTATAAGTATAAACAAAGAAATAGTTAAATCTAAATTGGGTCATTGTAGTTATTGGAGCATTTATTGGTCTGATTAATCATTTCAGTTTAAAATATATAAAAAAGTCTCATGCAAAGCAATAATTGAATTCGAAATTATAATGCGCATTCTTTGATATTTTGTGTTGAAATTCGAAAAAAAAAAGTAGTATATTTGATTATTGTAAGAATCACTTGTTACTATCTGATTTACATAAAGACTATATAATGCGTTATTATTGCATATTAATAAGATATATTTACGGTTCTCCAACTAGTACCGAAACCCAGAGAAAAAAAAAATTAAGGATAAGGCGTTTCTCATCATTTACAAATTACTGGAAATGTGAACGTATCACATTTGCACAATTATATATATATATATATATATATGTGTGTGTGTGTAAATAAACATATGGGTGGAAGGTACATAAATTTCTAATGGTTGAAATATTGTATCAATTTTAGTTGGTCCATATTGGAAGGTCGGCAACCGTCGCTCCTCTCTGGGGTTTTTTTTATGTGCGCCTATGAGCATATAGTTAATGCCCTTTTTATTAAAATTATATTACAGCTAACTAAAAATCAATTAATTATAAATATATAATATGTATATGTTTATGGAAGTGCTTGCGTGTCTCCACGTATACGCAATTCAATGCGAATATATATATTATATTGTGGCTAACGTGAAGCAATGGGATTTTCCATAACAGCGAAAAATCCAAAGGAAAGATTTGTGACTATTCCAAATAAATGAAATGAAACGTTGCTTTTAACGTCGAGAGGGACGTTGCATTGTTTTCTTCTTCTTCCTCTCTTTTAATTATCTATAAAACTCACATTTTGGTGATCTAATGGATGAGAGGTGACAAATTCATCCTCAAGTTTTTGGGTTCGATTCCACTGGTGGGAAGGAATGTAATTTCTGGACAAAAAATGGTTCATATACAAAGGTTGGTCCCGTACCTAGGGTGAACGTAGCCGGATCGAAAGTTCGGAAAACTATCCTGTTTATAAAAAAAACAATAATAATAATTATCCAAAATGTTTTTTAAAAAATTTATCCACATTTTATTCGATTTGTTTCAACATATTTCTTCCCTATAAAAAATATACGAAATATGCATAAAAAGTTGAAAGTCATATCTTCAAATATACATTAAATATAAATTGGAATCAATGGTCCACCCATACAAAGTAGCTTTTTAAATATATGGAAATGTATTTTTGGACAAAACTCGATAATTTTGCGGGGGAAAAGATCATATAATTATTATACGACCAAATGGATACATATAGTAATTATATTAAATTAGGGTTTCATTCATGGGTGTGCTCGAACGGGAGAAATGCATGGATCCGTCTCTTGTTTCAACCATCGAAGACTTTGACTTTATATTTGGTTTTATCCAATATTCCATGATTAAATCAAAGTCAAAATTATTGAGGAATTAGCATAGCCTTGTAAATCTAATCTATTTTTTTTTGTCCCAACATATGAAGCATGCCACCTAACTTGGTCAATTTATTTTTATGTATGCGTGCGTGGGCGAGTGTGTGTATATATACACTGTACACGTATGCCAATATATATATATATATATATATATATATATATATATGAGATAAGCAATTATGTCACACTATGTTTTATTAATTGATATATAATTTTCAACGTTACAGTATAAATTTGTATCGCTTTTCGAACGAAATATTTCGCTGTAGGAAAAGAATTTTCATTTTCTAATTGTCGCAAATTGACAACTTCTCATCAAATCGTTTTAGTTGCCATTTCATCGTTATTGGTTATAAATATTTTTTTTTTGTTAATTTGTTAGAAATAATATTTCGTCGCCCGTTTCGTTATATACGTATATATTAGCGCGATAACAGACAAGTTTGGGTTTTCTCGAAGTATTTTTTTTTTAAACATGCATGGGTCATGATTAATGTTTATGATGGGGACAGGATTATAAATAAACTACAACAAATTTATAATAGAAATTAATTGCACTGTAGTCTCTAAACCGTGCAAATCAACGGATGATGCGTATATATATCATTATGGGCAGCAAGATGCGTCACGTTAAAATCAAATATTCATCTATATATGGGATTATATATATATGTAGCGATATTTAATTATTGTTTTACAAAGCATGCATGTTTGATTTCTATATATATCATGCTTCGCCTTGCAGTTGCGTATTCAAATTTGAAAGGACATACTAAAAATACGACCCACTAATTATGAGAGTGGACACATATATACATACATACATACACACACACACACACACTGTAGAATGTTAAATTTAGCACCATAATGTAGACATATAGAATCACCAATTATTTGACGCAACATCCCAATAATTGGGAAAATAACGAGGTTGATTAAAAGAATCAGTCCATATGTATTTTTGAACTCAAAAGTTATAACCAAAAACAAATATTACAGTGAATATAATTTCAAATTAAATTATATATGAATTAATAATATTATTTCAAAGATCACTGCAGTTAATAACTAAAGAGTAATACGATAAATAGTTAAAAAGAACGGAAATATTTTTTTAATCATTCCAATAACTAAGATATTTATTTAATAGGATCGGGATCGGATAATCAAAATAACCTAATGACACGCAATATTAAATTTTAAAAATTCAGGGAAGAAATTATAATAGAAGGGAGTGAAATTCTTTTGGGTGGGCAAAGGGTTTGACCAAAAGAGAGTTGACTTGAGCATTGGTAGATGGATAAGGCAATAACCTTTGAGAAGAAATCCATACTTCATGGAAGAGAGAGATTCTTTCACGCAAACAAAATTGTATTTTTGGTAAGTTAAAAAGTCAAAATCTTTATTACATTAAACGAAAATTTCAATTGAAAAAAAATAGGAGACGTAATCGACTGACTATTCATTCATTCATTCATATGACATGTAGACAATATCGTTTAAACTTGATATGATTCATCAAAATGCCTTTTATTTCAGTTTTAATACAAAATGCCTTTTTATATAAAAAAAAAACTATATATGATTCATCAAATATATCAAATCACTTGTTAAATTGAACGAAGAACTTAAAAAAAAAAAAGAGAAATCAATAACACAAACTATGCAAAAGGAGCGGTCAAATTCAAATACTAAATGTGTTGCCCGTCAGTACGAATTCGAATTTTAGATATTTTCTTCTAACATTTGGATATCTAAATTAATTGCAAAGAATAATTACGCTATTTTACATTTATATACGAGTTTAATATCAAAATTCCAAATTACTTTTTTATGATAATTAAAAAACAGATTCTAGACTTTATAGATATCACCAATGCTGAACCCCAACTGTTACTTACAACACGACAACAACGGTCGGAGGAGGAACACATGCCAAAAAAATCTACAAGTGGGACAATACTTTTGAGTTCCATTTTCACAAGTGATCTACGACTCTCAGAATATTCCATTCGAATCTAAAAGATTCCACGGAATCTGCTAAATCATTTCTCTCTCTCTGTCTCTGCTCGTCCTATATCTCCAAATTCAGCAAATGGGATATTTTTTTTGTTATAGGGATTAAGCAGCGAGTACCAGAACTTTGATGGTTCCTTGACTATTGGCCGTCAACATTGTCGGGCTATCGCTCTTCCAGCAGACAGCGCTGATGAAGTAAGATCCCGCTTCTTCCTCCGCTTCGTCCATTTCGGTTGCTCCGAACCTATGCCATGTTACTGGATTCGTAATTTCCTGCATCACGATACCCGACCTCGTCAAAAACGATAGTTTTTTTTTCCTTGGGGGGAGGGAGGTTCAAGTGTTATGATGGTAATAATACCTTGTGATAGACGTATACTTCGTTTGTCTCGCTCCCGCACGCAAGATACTCGCTGTTCACGGTCAGACCCACAAAATTCTTCTCGTTAGTGTGGCCTCTGAATGTTCGTACCTGGGTGGGACGCAGAAGTATGAAAAAAGACATTGCAAGTGTTCAGTACAATACAAATGACCGTTCAAGAACGAGGAGAATATATTTTTGATAAATGTAAATCAACCGGCAAGTTGTCCTTGACATCCCACAAACGTAGGGTGCTGTCGGTGGATGCAGAAGCGAGCTCATTGTTGGACAAGAACTTCACGTACGAAACTGTTTTCTTGTGTCCGCTGAAGACATGGACTGGTTGGCTAAAGTTTCTTAGATCATAATAGTGGATGTGATGATCGGCTGACCCGACCTGCGACAAATATAAAAACAGGATTTTCATAGATCATTTTCATATGCTGCATCTCCTTTCCGAAAGCAGCCAACACTAAACCTACCTTTTGGAGATTCTGGTGATAAATTATGGGTGTGGAAGCTCAACTATGGATAGGAATTGAAGTGAGATGCAAAGTCAGTGGAGGCATGGGGAAAGTACATACCGCAATATAGTTGCTAGACCCGGGATTGTACTTGACACAACATATGTTTGCTTTCATATCGATGTTAATCACACTTGCTTCCTGCCTCGTGCACCAAACTTTAACCTGGTTCAATCACATCATAAATTAGAGTCAAGTACATATTACACTTTTATCGTGTATAATAATGAGGTAACGGATATCACAAATAATTTCATGCATGAATGTAGTCACACGAAAATCGACAAAATCATCATGTTAAAAATCACATCCAAAACATCGAATAAGTCAGCCAAGTTACATCAGAACAGAGGAACGAGTATAAGAAATGGAGTTATGATGGTCGAAACTCGGATTTTGGTTTAACCAGATATATCCAATATTTTTCACCTGCTACCGCAATGCCACAATGGATTAGAAACACCGATACAGAATGGGAGAAAGGTAACATATGCAATAATGGCATAGTTGGGAAGTATACACAATTGAAGAACTAAAAATCAGTAATACAGAGCACGGGGAGATAATCTACTTAGGAGGATCAATAGATTATTTCAATAAGTTGAAGACCAAGTTACTGGAAAATATGGTAAACAAAACAAACTGGAGGTACCTTACAATCATCACTACCAGATACAAGCATTGATGGTTCTGTCCGCGAAAAGTCAACACTCCAAGCACGTTTTTCGTGCTCTTCATATTCCATGAGACTCTGCCATCGCATTTGTTGAGAAAATGTATAGTTAGCAAAATGAATACATCTTAAAGAAAGATGATGGACTAGTAAGGTTAAAAAGTTAACTCACCTGCCTAGTAGTTACATCCCAAACAGTTACTATCCCCTCATAATCACTGCTTGCTATATGGTTTTTCTCGTGTTTGTTCCAACTCAAACAGCTAAGTTTAGAACGTGTTGACATCTCCACGACTGGACAGTGGACATCTGCTGGTTCATTAACAACCTGAAAAAGCGTATAATCATCAACCGGACATTCCCATAAGTAATTGGTTAAGAAATGCTTCACCTAAATTAAGCATAAAAAAGCTAGAAGAGGAGGTCAGGAAAGGACAGTTTATAGCAATACCATACTGTAGGAAATGAATGTTTTATCAAAAACTCAGTATTTACTGCCTATCATGAACCTCTACCACCACATTTATAGGCAATGTTCTATCTTAGTTTCACTACCAAAGAAGCCATATGCCTGCAGAGAAGAAAGATGCAAAATACTATGTGACAATCGTTCTCAGGCTCTTTGAACTTACCGAAGAGAAATCGAAAACCTTGATACATCTAGAAACACCAGCAGTGGCAAATAGTTCATCATCACGATCAAACTCTATGCTGAAAGGAAGAAAAGCCCACTCGTTCAACATCTCTCAGAACAAGATGAGGATATTATGGTTGTAAGCAAGCATAAACATGTAAGGAAAGGCAGAAAGACCAAAATGAGACAGATCAACGCAGAGAGAGACAGAGAGAACTATTTTTTTAACTTCCGAAGGTTGAAGGCGAATTCCAAATAGAGAGGTAACAAGAAAAAACTTTACCCTAATAGTAATTTTATCTATCGATAATCTTCAGCATAACTTGATCGTGCACAATTATTTTCACAAGCAGCTGGACAATTTTCTTAATATCATCTATAACTTATCTCTATTATAACATGGGAAAGAACTCACCTCGAGACGATATTGGCAGAGTGAAATATATCCCCATGCCGGATTTCTGCTATAACTCTTAAACGGCTGTTTCAACACATATCAGAGAATACAGGATAGACAAAAATCAAATAAAGTTGAAATACGTTTTTTTCTACGCGTAGGCAGATAGACAAAGGATAGCCACTGACTCTCACTGATACCTGTAGCGAGTAAAGGTAGTCAAGACAGATTGAAATTCTGCAAGGCCTTTACTATAGCCTTCCCTATGTATTACACTTTTATCATGTTCTTGCTTTATATGAGGTTGGTCTGACAATTGGCGTCGCTTTTGCAGATAACATTCTTGTAGGTCCTTGAACTGCAAGGCAACGTGCTTGAAAATTAGCCAATCAACACTACATATGTCAACCAGCCATAACAGTGAGGCAAAAGGACAAGAACATCGGAATTTTCCACTGAGAGTATTGAAAACCAAAATGTATATCATCACCGTCTCTATTTATCGAGCTGTTGGTCTAGACAATTATAAGACAAGATGAGTGGCTTCACATAATAATGATAAACGCAATACCACAGACACGGGAATCTCTTAAGCCCTTAAATGCTATATGTGCAAGTTCTTGAATTTTCCTTTCAAACTTTAATCCCATGTTCTTCAGACCGTATCATGTGATGAAGATTCAAACAGATAAAGTTGGCAAACAGGAAGTGCTGCAGAAGTACAAACCTGAGAATGAATTCGTTTTTTCCTAGCCACAGAGACAGTTGATTGATTTATACATTGACTGTCTGGCCCACTTAAAGCATCCTTCTTTTGGAGTCCATGAGAGCTTACTTGAGCCTTACCGTCTACCTTTTTGTTTTGATAATTTCCTAATGAAATTCCTCCTCTCATGTTCAGAGAATTAGAGATGAAACCAGTGTGGTTCTTGTCGAATGATGATGGCCATGCCTTTCTCGTGCTTGGATCATCTCCAAGCATCCGTAACTTCACCGAGTACCTGTCCCTTGCCCGGTATAACTCTATTCTATGTCTCTCAACGGCATTTATGTCCTCTTTAATATACTGGAGATCAGTTTGTACCTGCAGAAATAAGGGAAATAAAGACATAAAAAACCCTCCTCTCGGCGTTAGAACATAAATCATTTAAATGAAACCCATTTAACAAACAAAATAGTTCGGCATGTTTATCAGAAAACTTGGTGTCTCTTTACATTTAGTTTCTCCTTTTTATAGCATATAAACCATGAAACCTCTTTAAGCTAAAAGATTAGCTCCATCTTTTTAACAACTCCACCGAAGAACACATCGATGATTTCACAAATAAGGATGGTCGATGCAAAAGCAAGTTTAAGATACCAAATGGTTACAGCAGATTTATGCTTCCACTCTTGAAGGAATAAACACTAAAGCAAGCTCTTTTTTTCCCAAGGTTTACTGAAAGAAACCTGACCCATCTCTTTAGTTTTTCATTTCTCATCTCATGGTACACAAATTAACCACAAAACTTCGCCAAGCAAGAACACATTCCACTATATCAGAAATACTAGCGATTCTACTGTGGAAAAGAGGCCTAGTCTAAAGGTAGAACCAAAGTGACGAATGGTTAGGGCAATCTCGTCCTTAAAATGTTAAAAGGGTAAGGGATACAGAAAATAATAAAGTTAATAGAGAACGAGTATTGGTAGAATAAACTGGTTGTTATCCAGACAAACCAACCTCATTCAGTTCATCAACTTTCTGCTTCCTCAGACAATGCAGAAAGTCCAAAAGTATCTGCATATTCCTCTCAGCCTCTTCCTGTTCCATCTTCCTTTTCTTCTCCGCTAGAAGTGACAGAAGGTTGTCCACTTCCTTAATTGACACATCACAACCCTGTCTAAGGACCAAACAGGGAGTCAAATTTGAATGGAAGGAATAATGTTAGATAACATGTTGAAGTTTACTGCACCAAGATGAAGATGAAATCCATATAGAGCACCATTAGAGCAGCTAAGTGCATATAAATGAATCTGAGAAACACAAATTAAAGAGCAGTGATAAAAGATAAGGGCTGTTCAAGAACTGACCCTTTGTAGTGCTTGCCGGAACTGATCCAGGGGCGATGCAGTTTTCAACACCTGACAAGCTGATGTTTTCTTCAAAAGCTACAAATGCGGTACAGAGAAGCTGCGTTTCAGATATAAATAGTTTCAAGATACATTCATTGCTCTAACCATTAGATAACAAAATGCTGCATTTCAGATTAGTTTCAAGATACATCCTTTGCTAACCACCTTTCCAACTAAGATTCAGCAAATACGTGCCAAAGTTTAACCGTAGCTTAGTGTTTCTCTTTAAACTGCATTCGAAATCAAAATCCTAAAATAAACTATACATCAAAAACAAAATCCCCCAGAATATTATAAGAAGTCCTAATTCTCAGACTCGAAACGATCATATCCTTGAATGGGATGATAAAACCATATCAGCACCGCTGATGTTAAACCAGGGTGACCAAGAAACAAGTTCTTATCAAAGATATGAGCAATTACTGGTACCATTCAGAAATTAATCCCAGGAATTTCTTCGTACAAAGTTTTGCAATCTGGTTCACTCGCATTTCAATGAAACACTAAGAATGTTCCCTTAGCTTCTAAACAATCACGACAAACTGAATTTCAATTCAAGACAAGGATAAACAAAACAACAAACTGAATTAATCGAAACAAGAATCAACTGAGCAGTGACAGTAATTGGACTCCAAAACTAATCCACCCAAACCTGACTATTGTCACTTGCATCACTTCAAATACATATATACCAGACTTCCCAAACTCAATTCTGAACAGAAGCAGGGTGAAAAAAAAGGGGAAATCCAACCTTATCGAGAAGGAAGTTAGGGTAAAGCTGATTGCTGGTGAGGTGTTGGCCGCAACAGGGGCAATCGCTCTTGTTCCGGAGGTGAGTGATTATACACATGTAGCAGAAGCTGTGTCCACATGCCGTGAGGAACGCGTCCTTGATTATCTGCATGCAAATCGGACACAACAGGTCCTTGTCCAGTTCCGCCGCACCGATATCCGAACCGCCGCCGTGTCCACCGTCTTCGCCCTCGAAGCGGTGAGCAGCCTCGCCAGCGGTGGATGTTCTCGGGTCGGGTTTTACAGCCGGAACCATCGGATCCGTCGAGACCTCCTCCATGGTTTTTTTTTTTGTAATTCCTACTTCTATAGTATCGGAATCTGAATAAAAGGTAGAGATGGCGGAGATGAGGAGGAAGGAGGGTGTTCGTTCTGAGGATGCAAATGGACCACGTGGTCAATCACGCGCATGACGGCGCGTGTGGTTGAGTTTAAAAAATTGTTTATCTGCGAAAACAAAATATTTTAATTCGCCACAAATCGAGCTTCTCGTTCCCTCCTTTCTCCACTCTCTTGAGACCCGGAAGAGGAAGGGCAAGAAAACAGCCTCTACTTCCTTCTTCTTCTTCTTCTCTCTCTCTCTCTCTCTCTCTCTCTCTCTCACCCCCCATAATCAATCAGAAACCCTAGAAATTCCCGAGGTATGTATGCCATTCATTCTCGTTTCTCTGCTTCGACCTTCTCTTGAGATGCTAATTGCTTGTTTCTCTCGGATTTCCCTGCGAGTAAACCTGAAGGAAGCTTAACGTTAAATTTGGACTAAGCTGGTTATTTTTCATGTTTTTTTCATCTGCAAAATTTGCACGTACCTTCGATTTCCGCGCTTATTGTCGTCTATTTCAGGCTTCATCGGTTTAGTTTGAACGATCGTGTATCTACTCCGATTGTCGAGAGATCACTTTTTGTTTTCTTTTTCCTAGAAATTTTACCGGAATCCATTCGATTTCGCTGAGAACGTTGATGAACTACGCTTCAATTTTGCCTAGGATCGTTTTGGTTTAGTGCTATGAATTTTGATAACGGCACTCTGTATCCGCTTATGTTTGTTCATGTGCCTTTCTTAAAAAAATAATCCCGTAATGCTTGAAATTGTTTGTGCAATTGGATTTCTGGGGAGCTACAGAATGCCATTCTGTTTGACAGTGTCTTGTGTCGTTCTCTTTCCTCCGGTTTAAGCCGATGAACACAAAACTTATGGAGTTCTGTGGATGATTGTAAGCATTAGCTTCACTCTGAGATTTGAACCAGACTGACAGGGTTTCTGAATCAGAGGGCATTATATCAAAAATACCCTTAAAATGCTACTTCTACTTCAAGACCTACCCTTGTGACCATGTAACCAATGTGACCGAAATATAGTGTGGTCACATATTGATCTCATTGTTCATAACGTTAAATTTATGATGTTTTAATCAAATGATTAGTAAGATATACAAGGTATGAACATAATGAATTAGTGTGATCACCATAAATTTAACGTTATAATCGATAAAAATCAAAATGTGACCATAGTATATTTCGGTCACATTGGTCACATGTGACCAGGGTAGGTCTTGAAGTAGAAGTAGCATTTTAAGGGTATTTTTGATAATGTCCCGACTCAGAGATTTCAAAACGACGGCAATTTCTGTGTTTCGCCCTTATGATTGAGAAAAAAATGTTCTTCTATTAGGTTCAGTTCGGTTTGTTTTGCCGGCCCATACGACATTTATTGGGGTACAGGCCCACTAAGTTTCTTTTTAGAATGTTTTCATCATTTCTCGGCGACTGCTTATGTAGGTCCGATGAGTTGATGACATCACGAATCAGTACGGTTTTAGGTCAAATCCATGAATGATAACAAGCCAGATGCAACGTCGACAAACTTTTTTGGAAAGTCTCATTTTCAAAGTCAAAAGTGTTTACCATTCTAATGGTTTTATCTGCATCGAGTTCAGATTTTAAAAAAAAAAAATCAGAGGGATTTTAAAAACTCCGAAAACCTACCTTAATTTGCTATTTTTTTTAAAGCGCAAGATAAATATATAAAATAGTGTTTTTTTAAATTTGATTTTTCAATTTTAAAAAATTATAAATATTTAATTTTTTATATCAAATTTCATCTGGATATAATTATTTATTATTTGATTAGGATGAATTCATTTATTTTGATTCTTCACCGAATTTGGTCACTGCTAAAACTTTAAAGTAAAAAAGTGGAGTCAATAAAAGGATCTGCTTTTTCCTGCACCAGAAAACGCTTGACGTTTGGTCTTCCAACGGTCCAAACCGGTCCAACAAACCGCGTCAATCTGCCACGTCCTCCACCACACCATAATAACCGGTGGGCATCACAGACGTGATCAGATCTGAACCGTCCAACGTGGCCACTCTCCAGGGCTTGGTCTACACATCTTCCGCTGCTCCCCAATCTACACGATCTCTCCCTACCCTCGCTCGCCTGAACGATGGTTCCGTATTTCAAACCCCCCGTGGATCCCACCTGCTTCTGCTAAGCTGCGAAGCAGGAGATTTCTTGTGCCAGAATCAATGCGTTTTGACATTTTTGCCCCTCTCAAGTATTTTTCTTGTGGTGTACGAAACTTGGTTGGTCCCAGTCCCAGAGCACATTGCCCCCCCCCCTTTCCAAATTTATTTCAGTGTGTTATGTTTAATTTTTTAATTAAGATTTTTTACGAGTCTTAAAACTCTCGAGACTATTTTCTCTGTCTGAGCGGTGGGGCCCACTTTCCAGCTATCCGACGGTCCTCATCGCTCCTCCCCATCTCCGTCAGTTGACGCGAGATCTCACTACGACACGAGTATTGTACAGCAAAATGATCAAATCTTAGGCAAATTCAATTAATTAAATATATATACATGTAATTGCATAATAACTAATATTTATATGTGCTTACATGAATTTAGATTAAATGTTTGCACTGAAACTGATATCCAACAACGACAACACGAATGGAAAAAAAAGGACTGGTTCAGAGGTAATTTGGTCATTTCAGTATGGAAACAAATGCGGGTCCCACCAGGATTCAAATCCAGTGGTCCACACCCCATACATTAGTCATGGGTGCACCAAGTTCCCGCGCTTTAACGGTGAGGATTTCACACGTTTTTTTTTTCCTTCTTTTCATAATCCCCTGATGAAAATTAGCATTTCCACGTCACTGTTTGAATAAAAATAATACCGTGATACTCACGCTTCGTGTTTTTTTTTTCCTGTGTTAAAAGACGATAATAACCTTTACTTTTCCCCTCTTTTCTCCTCACACGAAACCATAGAAAAAATGTATTTTAATATAATCTCTGGATAATCAATTATCTTTCCTTTTTCTTTTTACAAATTGTTCTTCTTAAAACTACAATTTCATAAACAATACGATTATATTCTAGAATTTTATAATTTAATGACCATGATTTGAAGCTTCTTTATCACAAAAATATGAAAAAACTCTTTTTTCCGCATGTATTAGTTACATTTTAATGATATTTAATAACTTTAAAAGTGTAATCGAAACACTAATTAATTAGCCACAAGCTAAAGTCAACAAATACATTGAATTTAAAAAAATCTGAGGATTTACAAAATGAAATGCAGATTAAAATCTTAGTTAAGTTTATTAAGGTGATGGCCCCCACGCGCGAGAAGTCATTTTTATTAAATACCAACGCATTAAAATTAGGTGTGAAATTGCATAATTAAAGTAATTAGATGAATTTGAGAAATTTAAAAAATATAATAATGAGGTTTTTTTCCAACAAAAGAAATAAACGCAAAAGGGGTCCCACAAGGTGCGGATCCGACGGTCCAGATAGAACCATCACACGGAAGGATCAGATCACGCGCATGCCATTATATAAAAGAGTAGGGGTAAGATTGTCATTTAAAGCAGGCAGAATTTATTAACCCGTACACGAGGGGGGCAAAGACTCATCACTGCTCAGCATCAAATCATTTAATTTATTTTTATTTAAACATTTTTTTTCTTTTCGTTTTCACATTGACACACAAACATCGGGGAAAAGAGGAAGATCCGAAAATTTTCCCAGGAAAACTCAGATTCCGGGAAAAAGGAAAGGAAACGGAGAGGGGGGAGAATAAGGGAAATTTAATCCAATTGGAATATTTGGCTGAAGCTTTCCTTTTGGATTTGTTATAAACGAGATACATCCGCTTGGAAAAGAGGAGTTAAAAATCTTAGATTTTCACCATTGTTCTTCGTCTTTATTATTCATCGGTTTCCAGAAACAGAGAGAGTGAGGGAGATCCGTTTCCTTATATGATTATCACAATCTACCTGTGATTTCTCCTCTTTCTTCGATCTTTGTCGTCATCGTTTCCTTGCAATTTATCTGTGATTTTTCGGAAGGTAGAAGACAACAAAAGTTTGTCTTTGCTGCTGTTTGTTTGTTTTTTTTGCTGTCGACCCATGTCTGAAACTCAGCAGGATCAGAGCTCTATTGTGTCGAATCGATCTTCCGTGAAAATCGAAGGTAGTTTCCATTTCTGTCCCTAAGTTTTCATGAGAGATCCAAATGATCGGTTTCGGTTTTCAGTAATGCGTTTGAAGATCATGCGAGTATGTTGATCATCGGTTCCAAAGTCGCAGTTTCAAAAACTCAGAACTCAATATGAACTTGTCTCTTGCTAATCTTGTTTGATCCATCGTGTTCTTGTCGTGTTCGAACCTGGGATCATTAGCTCCGGAATTATTGAATAGGGGTCATTTTTCTGCACTTGAAAAACCAGAACTTGATAGTTAGTCACGAATTGGTGCAGTGGGTTTTTACCTGATTCCATGTTAATTCTTCCAATTTCTGGAGCTTAATCGTGTTTAGATACTGGCAATCATCTAAATGTTCTGTTTTTCGGGTTTCGATGCTATGATCTGCAGATGCCATTAGGCGGATAAAGTTGAATGAAGGAAGTGATGCTCAATCCGGTCCTTATCCTGATCGTCCCGGTGAACGAGATTGCCCGTTCTATCTGAGGACGGGGTTGTGTGGCTATGGAAGCAACTGCCGTTACCATCATCCTCCTTATTTTTCTCAGGTGAGAAACTATAATCATAATGAGGTTTCAGTTTCCGTGTCTGTTCTTGTTTTGCTTTGGCTTACAGTTTTGTAACATCTTCTCTTCATAGGCTACTATTTATTACAAAGATGAACTCCCTGAGAGAGTTGGATATCCGGACTGTGAGGTGCACTTCTTGAATTTCTTCTTATTATCTCCCTTTTCCCGTGTTCGGTTGAGAAATTTTACCGTTTTTTCTGGTCTGGACGCTTGTAATAGATAATGGATTTAGCATACACGTTTCATACTATGGCCTCGATCTTCTTCTTCTTCTTCAGTTAGTGTGATGTACTGTTCTGTTTTCTTCCCTTGAAAGCGTTTGCCAAGCAAGGTTTTTTTGTTGTGTGTATTTCTTTGCAGTATTTTCTAAAGACTGGAACCTGTAAGTATGGACCTACATGTAAATATCATCATCCAAAGGACAGGAATGGTGCTGGACCCGTGTTGTTCAATGTTCTCGGTTTTCCTATGCGTCAGGTAATTTTATCTTCTAGAGGTCAGCTAGTTAGTTCTTTCAATTTTCTCGATTTGGCCTGTTGCTGAAACCTTATTGGACTTCGTTTCCAGAGTGAGAAATCGTGCCCATATTACCTGCGGACTGGAACATGCAGATTCGGAGTTTCGTGCAAATTTCATCATCCTCAACCTGTTAATGGACCTTCTGCTGCATATGGGGTGTCTAGCTTTTCTTCTGTAGGTTTTCCCTACCTTGGCGGTTTGACAATGATGTCTTTGCCACCTGCAACTTATGGAGCAGTACCACGTGCACAAGTTCCTCAGGCCTATGTTCCTTTCATGGTTTCTCCCTCTCATGGCATTTTACCCCCTCAAGGCTGGGCCACTTACTCGGTAAGTCTAAATATCTTGTTCTGTGGTTGAAATAGAAAGCTTGTTTCAGATGAGTTAGAGAACAAATAGACTCATCCAGTCAACATCTCCGGGATGGAACATGTTGGATGCTTTGCATTATATGTAATGAGTTTGTAGTCATAACCGTGGCTAGAGTTTCTCTGTGTATCATGGGTCAACTGGTTTATCCTTCCAGAGCGACTTACCATGAAATTTCCTGTGTTTTGTTTTGGGACAGGTTACTCCTAACAACATATACAATGTGAAAGATCAACCTGACTCGAATTCTTGTGCATCAGTGCCTGTGGCTGTAACATCGAACCACAGTTTGCCTGAAAGACGTGACCAGCCAGAATGTCGGTTTTTTATGAGCACTGGAACATGTAAATATGGAGACGACTGCAGATATAATCATCCTAAAGAAAGGATTTCACAATCGCCACCAAATCCGTTAAGCCCTATTGTTCTACCGTCTAGACCTGTAAGCTGCTCTCTCTTCTTCTTGTGTATTGTCCCTATCTCATTCTGAGTTTACTAATAAAAATAACTGATGGGAACAAAAAGAGGAAAAATATTTGGTCCCTGAAGATTTCATGTTTAGAAACTATGATCTTGAGCTTTGCAGCATCTCTTCCTAGGTATACCTAAGTAGAATGACCTGATGAACTAACTGGTCATGAGGAATTTGGAATTAACCCTTGAAGGGCCGGTAGAAGTTTTTTTGTTAATCTTTACCGGTAATAGCCTATATATTACACATCCTGGCCCTTAGCTTTCACCTATGCTATCATATCTTGGTCTTATATCAATCTGAACAGCGATGATCTTGATTCAGAATTCCATAGTTGAGATTTTTGTTGTTCTGCTTGTTGTTGTCTGTAGGGGCAACCGGCATGTTCCAACTTTATGACCTATGGGTTCTGCAAGTTTGGACCAAACTGCAAATTTGACCACTCTTTGCCACCATATCCTTACAACATGGCATTGACCATGTCTCATTTACCTGCAACTTATGCTTCACCTGTCTCAACTCATCCGAGGATGGCTCCTCCAAGTCGATCTGATTCACCGCCCCTGTCTGATACCAAACCAGCCGAGAAGATCCGGAACCCGAAAGAGACTGAGAAGTCTGGCCTTAACAACGAACAGGTTAACTCAGAAGTGCAGGTTTCATCCGAGAACTCGTCTTGATCAATCATCACCAACATCAGGCATCAGCAACGGGGTAGAATCTCCGACTCTGGTTTCTTGAGATGATGGGCATGGTCTCTCTGCCATTTGTTCTTGTTTTTGGAAGGAGGTGAAAAATGAACATGTTCTCCATTTTTGGGAGTTTGGAGATTACCTTGGCTCACAAGAATAGGGAATAAAGTTGAATGAAGGAAGTGATGCTCAATCCGGTCCTTATCCTGATCGTCCCGGTGAACGAGATTGCCCGTTCTATCTGAGGACGGGGTTGTGTGGCTATGGAAGCAACTGCCGTTACCATCATCCTCCTTATTTTTTTCAGTTTACTTTGGTGGAAAGAGAGATTTTGACATTTATACTAGGACCGGGCGTTTCGGTTCGGTTCTTCGGAACCGGACCAAACCGTTAAAACGGTATTTTTTCCTACCTGAAACTGCTGTTATTTTTCAAACGGTACCATTTTTAGATAACCGAATTTTTTCGGAACCGAACCGAATTTTAAAAATCCCGAAAAACTGAATATTTTTAAAGGAAATCTATCATTTTTTTAATAAAACTCAGAACCGAACCGATACGGAAACCGAATCGAATTGAATACAATAAAAAACCCGATTGGTACCTATTTTTGTAAAACCGAAAGAACCGAACTGTTTCATTCCGTCCCGAACCCGAACCGTTTCCCGAAACGCCCACTCCTAATTTATACTGCGGATATATATATATATATATATATATATATATATATATATATATATATATATTCTTTTTTGTCTT